CCTGGGGGGCCTGGGGGGGCGGCGGCCGTGACCCCGCCCGCAGTCTCCATCGACTCCATCCAGGAGGTGAGCGAGGGCCGGCAGTCCGAGGTGTTCCAGCGCTACCCCGACGGCAGCTTCGACCCCGCCTGCTGCTTCAGCATCTTCCACGGCGGCCTCCGCCGCTCGCTGGACCTGGTGTCGCCCAGCAGCGACGGGGCGCGCACCTGGGTGACCGGCCTGCGCTACCTCATGGCCGGCATCAGCGACGAGGACAGCCTGGCCCGGCGGCAGCGCACGCGGGACCAATATCCGGGCGGCGGGGGGGGGGGGGGGGGGCCGGGGAGCGGAGAGGGAGGGGCGGGGGGGGGGCCCTAGAGACGTGTGGCCCCTAACTCGCCCCAAAGTGGCTGAAGCAGACGTTCGACGAGGCGGACAAGAACGGGGACGGCAGCCTGAGCATCGGCGAGGTCCTGCAGCTGCTGCACAAGCTGAACGTGAACCTGCCCCGGCAGCGCGTGAAGCAGATGTTCAAGGTGAGCACGGCGCTCCCCGGAGGCTCCGGGCTGCAGGGGTGTGGGGCAGGGGCGTGTCTGGGGCTACAAGGGTGTGGGGCAGGGGCGTGTCCGGGGCAGAGGCGTGTCCGGGGCTACAGGGGTGTCGGGGCAGGGGCGTGTCCGGGGCTACAGGAGTGTCGGGGCAGGGGCGTGTCCGGGGCACAGCCGTTCCCACGAGGCTCCGGGGCTACAGGGGTGTCGGGGCAGGGGCGTGTCTGTGGGCAGGGGCATGTCCGGGGCTACAGGAGTGTCGGGGTAGGGGTGTGTCCGGGGCAGGGGCGTGTCCGGGGCAGGGGCATGTCTGGGCAGGGGTGTGTCCGAGTCACAGCCGCTCCCACGGAGGCTCCGGGGCTACAGGGGTGTTGGGGCAGGGGTGTGTCCGGGGCAGGGGCGTGTCTGGGGCAGGCCAGCCCTGAGGCTGCAGCAAATGGCAGGGGCACAGCTTGGCCAGCGGAGCTGGGCACTCAGGGCAGGGGCTGGTCAGTGAGGAGAACACCCACTGGAGGCTGCACCCCCTTTCCCCCCTAATGGGGTGCACCTCTCCTGGTGGGATTCTGGTGCCACATGCCCTGGATGGGCAGCAGGCCTGGTCCCCTGCCCTGCACTGCCCTCTGGTCCCCAGTCAGCTGGTGTGAGAAGCTGGGCACATGCCCCTTTGGCCCCTTCAGCCGAGCAGAGGCCTGTCTGTCTGATCAAGGCCTCGTTCTCACTGCAGCGGGAGAGCTACTCTAGCCCCCCCCCCCGGAGACACATGCTTGTACACACACAGACACATGTGCACATGAGCACACAGGTACACAAGGCACATACATGCACATGTGTGCACATCTAGGCCCTCGTTGGCACATGCATGCACACACATGCACACACGTGCACACACGTGCACACACGTGCACACGCACCACTCACACAGCCTGAGCTCTGCCAGGTGCAGCCCTGCCGCTCCTGCTGGGCTCTGACAGCGGCGGTCACGCTCAGCTGGAGCCTGCTGGGCAGTGTCAGCGTCGCGATGCCCTGTCCGCCCGCAATCGCCCGGTCGGAGGGGAGACGTGTGAAGGCCGCAGCGTGTCTGGGCGCCACGTCACGTATCTGAGATGACAGTGGGTGTGGGCGAGGGCCTTGGGGCCTAACCAGCACCTGGTGGGTCCCGGGTGGCTCCTGGGCAGGTCCCCGGGGGTCCCAGCGTGACTGCTGTCCACTTGTGGGGAGCACAGCAGCCCCCGACCCCGTGGGGGGGTTGTTTCTGGGGCTGGGCAGTCGCTCTGCCTTTCAGGCCTCATGGAGCATTTTTAAGTTAAAAAATGTGTTTTTATTGATTTTTTAGAAGAAGAGAAAGGGAGAGGGATAGAGAGATACCGATAAAAACATGAATGAGAGGGAAGCATCGTTGACCGGCTGCCCCTTGCACGCCCCCTGCTGGGGACGGAGCCCACAGCCCCGGGCATGTGCCCTGACCGGGAATCGAACCCTGACCTCCTGATTTACAGGTCGACACACAACCACTGAGCCACACGGGCTCCTGGAGCATTTGTAGCCACTGCCGGGTTCAGCAGCGGGTGGAGAGCGGGCGGCTCCCCCGCCCCAGCCCCCCAGTCCGGCTGTGCTGCTGGGGCTGAGCCCGAGGGCACACGGCCACTCTGTGCTCGGCTCCAGCCGCCCCTGGAGGGCTGCCAGGGCAGCCCCGTTCAAGGGGCCTCCGACCTGCACGGCCTGTCCTGGCAGCTCGGACGCCAGGCTGCCCTCAACCTGCACCGGGCGCGCCAGGCTCTGCTGGGCCCCATCCCGCGTGGCTCTGGCCCGTCCCAGGCTTGGCATGGGCGCCCGGCACGGGCCCTTGGGTCCTGGAGGGAGACACTGGGCCCGGCCAGGCGCCCGCCTCAGTGCCAGGGAGGCGGCCACCGGGAGCACAGGCCGGGCGCCGCTTTCCTGCTCTCGTGGGGGCGGGTGTGGGGTGGCTGTGACCCCCTGGCTCACCGGTGAGGCTCCTGCTCCACCGGCCTGTGTGGCTCAGCAGGAAGCACTAGCAGCTGGTCTGGTCAGGCGCGTGCGCTGTCCGCGGTGCTGCCCGCCCCGCCCCGGGGTCTCCTCCAGCCCGCCATGTTCCCGCCCTGTGCCCACCTGCACCCCGCCGGGGCAAAGAACCGACCGCACTCAGGGTATTTTTAAGGATATATATATATATATTTTTTTACTGATTTCAGGGAGGAGAGAAAGGAGAGGGAGGGAGTGATAGACACATCGGTGATGAGAGAACCACCGACCGGCTGCCTCCTGCACATCCCCCGCCGGGTGGAGCCCTCGGCCCGGGCCTGTGCTCTGACCGGGAATCGAACTCTGACCTCCTGGTTCACAGGTCGATGCGCAGCCACGGAGCCACCCCTCCTAAGGGGTCTCGTTCTTGCCAGCTCCTAGCACCTCAGGTCCTGGCAGCCCGGCCTGTCGCTGGGCACCCTGGTCCTCGGGTCTCTCCCTGGCCTTGAGCCTGGGGCAGGGTGGCGCCCAGGCCCCAGCATCCCCAGGGCCCGGCCCCTCCGAGGTGCCCGAGGCCGTTCGCTCGTGAGGGGCCCAGGGGCTTGTGGAGGTGCCGGTCGGGGGTCCCGTGGGCGCTGCAGCCAAGGCCAGCGTCCCGGCTGTGGCACCAGGACCCGTGACGCCATGGCCTGGTGCGGACCCGTGACGCCATGGCCTGGCGCCCGTCTGCTCGGCGGGCACCCAGGTCACTCCAGGCGCCCAAGCCAGGGTGGGCGCTGACTCCCGGGGCTGCTGGCCTGCCGTGCAGGTCACGGGCTGGCCGGGCTGCAGGTCACCTTGGGAGTCTCGGAGGCGGGAGGGGGAGGGGCCCTCTGGTCTCAGTGCTGAGTCAGAGGGGGGCCGGGGAGCGATCTGGGGCTGTGACCTGGGCTGTGGTGTTGGAATGAGGAGGGTGGATTTGTGGGGACGACTGAGAAGTGGGGGTGGGGCCCTAGCTGGTGTGGCTCAATGGATAGAGCATCGGCCTGCAGACTGCAGGGTCCCGGGTTCGATTCCCATTAAGGACACGTACCTCAGGTGCAGGCTCCTCCCAGGCCCGGGCGGCATGCAGGAGGCGACCAGTCGATGTGTTTCTCTCACATCGATGTTCCTCTCTGCCTCTCCCTCTCCCCCACTCTCTTTCTAAAAGCCAATGTGGACATGTGCTCAGGTGAAGGTTAAAATAAAGAAGGGGGGGCGGGGACCCTGAGGGAGGGCTGGGGGGTCCCGGGGGACCCCGTGGGAGGGCTGGGGGGCGGGGGACCCCTGTGGGAGGGCTGGGGATGGGGGACCCCTGTGGGAGGGCTGGGGGGTGGGGGACCCCGTGGGAGGGCTGGGGGGCGGGGACCCCGTGGGAGGGCTGGGAGGTTGGGGGGCCCCTGTGGGAGGGCTGGGGGGTATGGGGGCCCCCTGTGGGAGGGCTGGGGGGCGGGGACCCCGTGGGAGGGCTGGGGGGCGGGGACCCCCGTGGGAGGGCTGGGAGGGCCCTGTGGGAGGGCTGGGGGGCGGGGACCCCGTGGGAGGTTGGGGGGTTGGGGGGTGGGGACCCCGTGGGAGGGGCTGGGAGGGCTGGGGGGTGGGGACCCCGTGGGAGGGCTGGGGGGTGGGGGACCCTGTCAGAGGGGCTGGGAGGGCTGGGGGGTTGGGGGACCCCGTGGGAGGGCTGGGGGGTGGGGGTGGGGACCCCGTGGGAGGGCTGGGGGGTGGGGGTGGGGACCCCGTGGGAGGGGCTGGGGGGCTGGAGGGCTGGGGGGCGGGGACCCCGTGGCAGGGCTGGGGGGCGGGGACCCCGTGGGAGGGCTGGCGCGGCACCCACGCCCGGCGTTGCAGGAGGCGGACACGGACGAGCAGCAGGGCAGGCTGGGCTTCGAGGAGTTCTGCGCCTTCTACCAGATGATGTCCACGCGCCGCGACCTCTACCTGCTGCTGCTGGCCCACAGCGGCCACGGGGACCGGCTGGCGGCCGCCGGCCTGCAGCGCTTCCTGGAGGCGGAGCAGAAGGTGGGCCGCGGCTCCGGGCGCCCGCGTCCAGAGGGAGCCCCCCCGGCCAGGCAGGGTGTGCGGCGTGGGCCCCTGGGCCGGGCCTCCCCGCCCCGCCTCCCCACCCGGGGGGCTGGCCGGCTCCACCCCGCGGGCAGGTGGAGGGCAGGACCGCGGGGCGTTGGGCTCCTCCTCACCCACGGGCCCTGCCCCCCCTCACCCGCCCCGGCCACAGCACTCAGGCCCCTAATGTGTCCCTGGGGTGGCCCAGCCCATGGGGCCGAGAGCCGCCCTGCCCGAAGGATCCTGAGAGCAAAGCCACGTGACACCCCCCCCCCCCCCCCGTCTGCCGGCCACCGTCCCGCCACGTGATGCAGGAGTGGCCGGCGAGCCCCGGGCAGGGGAGGGAGCCCAGGGCAGGGCCAGAGCCCGGGTGAGTGACACGCTGGCCTGGCTCCGCCCCCTCTGGCCCAGATGACGGGGGTGACCCTCGAGAGCTGCCAGGACCTCATCCAGCAGTTCGAGCCCTGCCCCGAGAACAAGAGCAAGGGGCTGCTGGGCATCGACGGTGAGTGGGCGGCCGGGGGGCGCAGAGGGCCGAGGGCAGCCCGTGGCCCGGGGGCAGCCTGAGCAGCTGCTCCCTGCTGGGGGGGGCCTGGGGGGCCGGGGACCCCCAGGCTGAGCCCCCCTCCCACGCCCAGGCTTCACCAACTACATGCGCAGCCCGGCCGGCGACATCTTCAACCCCGCGCACCACGGCGTGCACCAGGACATGACGCGGCCGCTGAGCCACTACTTCATCACCTCCTCCCACAACACGTACCTCGTGGGCGACCAGCTCATGTCCCAGTCGCGGGCGGACATGTACGCCTGGGTGCTGCAGGCCGGCTGCCGCTGCGTGGAGGGTGCGTGCGGGCTCGGGCCCCTCTCCCCGGCCGGAGGGGTGGCCCCTGGGGCAGGGTGTCCGCCTCACCCCGGAGCCAGGGCCCCCCCTGCGGGGCTCGGGCCGCAGGGCCCCGGGCGGCGGCCGGCGCTGACCGGTCTCCCGCCCGCAGTGGACTGTTGGGACGGGCCGGACGGGGAGCCGATCGTGCACCACGGCTACACCCTCACCTCCAAGATCCTCTTCAAAGACGTCGTCGAGACCATCAACAAGCACGCCTTTGCCAAGAACGAGTGAGTGCCCTGGCTGGGCGGCTCAGTGGAGAGAGCGTCAGCCTGGAGACTGAGGGGTCCCGGGTTCGGTTCTGGTCAAGGGCACATACCTCGGGTGCAGGCTCCTCCCTGGTCAGGGCGAGTGCAGGAGGCAGCCCATCGATGAGCTTCTCTCACATCCGTGTGTCTCTCTGTTTCTCTCTCTCTCTCTCTCCCTCTCCCTCGCACTCTCTCTAAAAGTCAATGGGAACAGCCGGGACCGGTTTGGCTCAGTGGATAGAGCGTCGGCCTGCGGACTGAAAGGTCCCGGGTTCGATTCCGGTCAAGGGCATGTACGTTGGTTACGGGCTCATCCCCAGTGGGGGGTGTGCAGGAGGCAGCTGGTCGGTGTTTCTCTCTCATCGACGTTTCTAACTCTCTGTCCCTCTCAATTCCTCTCTGTGTAAAATCAATAAAATAAAAAAATAATAATAATAAATAAATAAAAATAAAAGTCAATGGGAACATATCCTCGGGGAAGGATCAGCCAAAACAGAAGAAAGATAAGAATGAGAGAGCGGCAAAGACTGGCCCCGGAGGTGGGCCTTGGGGGCTCCTCCCACCCTGGCCTCCCCTGCCCTGGCCACACCTTTCCGGCTGCAGGGTCTCTGCTGAGGACAGCTGGGCTGGGAGTGGCCCTGGAGAGAGGCCAGTGTGTGAGTGGGGCTGTGTGGTGCACACACACACACATGCACATACATGTATGCACACGCACACGCACACACACATGCACACACACACGGTGACCGCCAGCGCCCTCAGCCGTGCGCCTCCACACTAATTAGCCAGCCCTGTGCCCAGACTCCGTTCGCTGTCACTCAGCGGCGGCCGCAGACACTGTTGACAAAATCCCGTCTCACTTCTGGAGCTGCAGCCGCTCCTGCTGCTGTTGGCGTTTCCTCCGAGTCCGGGCCACGGAGGCGGGTGGCGGAGAGCGGTGGGCGGGGGGGGGGGGGGGCCTCTGGGGCGGAGCTGGACACACAGGCCCTGCGGCTGCCCGGGAGCCAGTGCTGCGGGGTCTCAGGCTCAGGCTCATCTCTGCAGACTCGGGTGCTCCCCGGCCCCCCGGCCCCGGCACAGGCCCCTCCTGGCCGCAGACACGGGGCAGTGCACACCTTCCCCCCAAGACTCGGCGAGGCAGGGCTTGCCTGTCGCCCGCGGGCCTCGCTCCTCCCGCCGGAGTGACCTACATTTCCTGAAAGGATGGTGTTGTTTTTCTGGCAAAAACCCAAGGAGGATGTGTGCCCGGTTTTTAAAAATCAAACAACGGAAGAACAGAGCGAACAGCCGGCCGCACCAGGCAGGCCCCGTGCCCTCCCCGACGCTGCTCCTCAGGGGCCACGGCGGGCAGGGGGGCAGGGAGGGGGCGGCAGGGCCGGGACCAGCGGGTCCGTCCTCACCCGCGGCCGCCGCTCGCCGGGCTCCCTCCCTCCTGTGAGCAGCACTGCGACCTGCGGCTCCTTCTGTTTTCCCGGACTCCAGCGCCCTGGTTTCCGCCAGGGGCAAGGCTCAGGCCCTCTTTCCTTTTCTTTCAAAAACATTTCTGTTGGTTTCAGAGAGGAAGCTGAGAGGGGGAGAGAGAAACATCCATGATGAGAGAGAATCCTGGATCAGCTGCCTCCTGCACGCCCCACACTGGGGTTCGAGGTCTGTGCCCGGGCCTGTGCCCTTGGCTGGGAATTGAACCCTGACCTCCCGGTTCCTAGGTCGACACTCACCCCTGAGCAGGTGCAAACCTTCTCCACCCCAAGGCCTCCCGAGCCCTCACACCTGCGGGCGTTTCTCAGAGCTGCTGCCCCCCACCCCCTGCACCCCGGGCTCCAGCGGGACACCCCTGCTCCATGCAGAGGCCCCTCCCGGCCTCACTGCCCCCCCCTCGGGCCGCAGGTACCCGGTGATCCTGTCCATCGAGAACCACTGCAGCGTGGCCCAGCAGAAGAAGATGGCCCAGTACCTGACCGACATCCTCGGCCACAAGCTGGACCTGTCGTCCGTGGGCAGCGAGGACGCCTCCAGCCTGCCCTCCCCCCACATGCTCAAGGGCAAGATCCTGGTGAAGGTGAGCCCGCCTGCCCCTGGGGCTGGGACTGGGGCAGAGGGCAGGGCGGGGCAGGGCGGGGGGCAGGGCGGGACAGGGCGGGGCAGGGCGGGGCAGGGCAGGGGGCAGGGCGGGGCAGGGCGGGGCAGGCCGGGGCAGGGCGGGGCAGGGCGGGGCAGGCCGGGGCAGGGCGGGGCAGGGCCTGCTCCACCAGCTGGGGCTCTGTGCCATCTGCCCTGAGCTGGCTCAGTCTCTCCACGGTGGCCACGCCGTCTGGGGACCTCCACACGCACACACAGGCGTCCCCTCCCCCACGGCTGCCTGGGGCCCCGCGCACGCTCCGGTGCCCTTCCTGCGCCCCGGGGCTGAGCCCGCCCCCGGCCCTCCGCCCCCAGGGCAAGAAGCTGCCCCCCAACATCAGCGAGGACGCGGAGGAGGGCGAGGTGTCCGACGAGGACAGCGCGGACGAGATGGACGAGGACTGCAAGCTGCTCAACGGGGATGTGAGTGGGCGGTCAGGGCCCCGGGGGCGGCCAGGAGAGGGGGGCCCGGGGGTGGCCAGGAGAGGGGGCCCCGGGGGCGGCCAGGAGAGGGGGGCTCCGGGGGGAGCGGCCAGGAGAGGGGGGCTCCGGAGGGCGGCCAGGAGAGGGGGGATCGGGCAGCTGGCCGGGGGGGCTGGCCAGGAGAGGGGGGCTCCGGGGGGCGGCCAGGAGAGGGGGGATCGGGCAGCTGGCCGGGGGGGGCTGGCCAGGAGAGGGGGGCTCCGGGGGGCGGCCAGGAGGCGATTGCTGGCCACTGGCTGCCGGGCACACGCCCGGCCCGAGGCCTCGGAGGCCCCCCCACAGCACTGGAACCCGGGTCCCCAGCCCGTGTGACCTGCTTGCTGGCCGCATGCTGCGTGGCCCCCATTTCTGAGCCCAGTCTGGGGGCGCTGTTCGCACAGCCTGCCCTCGGCAAGTGGGGGCGGCACTGGGCGACAGGGTGCTCCCCCCCCTGCACCGGCCCCGGACGCCCTTCCTTGCCTCTCTCCAGCCAACCCCAGTGCCCGCCCGGTGCCCAGGGACCCTGTCCATCACCCACAAACCAGCACCAGCTGGTTTGCAGGCCCCCCGTGGCTCCCTAGGGCCCTGTGGGGGCGGCTGTTTGAGGAAGCCCTGTGGCCGCCTCCTGACTGCCAGGCCGCGTGGCCCGGGGTGACGGTGAGCCCGGTGCTGTGAGGTCCGCCTGGCATCCAGCCCCACCTGTGCCCAGAGCACCCAGCGGCCCCCAGCCCAGGCCCTGCCCTGGGGGCCAGAGTTCATCAGGGCCCGTGGGTACTGCCTGGCAGAGAGGGCACCTGGAGGGGACACGGACCAGCCCCCTGTGGGCCAGGCCGCTTGGCCCCCCCCATCCCCTCGGGCGCCGGGTGGGAGCCCAGGCCCGGGCTGCTGAGCGGGCGGGCGCGGTGCGCACCGACTGCCTCCTGGAGGCTGGGAGCAGAGCCGGTGGGGGTGGCGGGTGGGGCTGGGCGGACGTCCTGTGGGCGCTGGCCGGTCCGAGGGCCGGGTCCTGCAGCGGAGGGAGGTGGAGCTGAGCCCATGGGCCTGGGGTCCGGGCCTGCCTGTCCCTGGGGGGCAGGGTGGTGAGGACCCCTGGGGTGCCAGGGTGAGCGTGTGTCTGGCACCGGGCGAGGGGCTGAGCCAGGCCCGGCTGGTCCTCCCGCTGCCCGAGGGCTGGGCTGACGCCGCCCGCCTCTGCTGCCCAGGCCTCCGCTAACAGGAAGCGGGTGGAGCACATCGCCAAGAGGAAGCTGGACTCGCTGATCAAGGAGGCGAAGATCCGCGACTGCGAGGACCTGAACGACCTCACCGTGTCGGCGCTGCCGCTGCCCCGGAGGCCCCGGGCGGGGGGCCGGAGGGTGAGCCTGCCGCTGCCGCCACCGGTACACACACACACACACACCCACACACCTGCACGCACACACCACACACACACACACCTGCACGCACACACCACACACACACACACACACACCTGCACGCGCGCACACACACACACCACACACACACACACACACACACACCTGCACGCGCGCGCACACACGCACACACACACACCTGCACGCACACCACACACACACACACACACACCTGCACGCGCGCGCACACACACACACACACCTGCACACACACACACACACCTGCACGCGCGCACACACACACACACACACACCTGCACGCGCGCGCACACACACACACACACACCTGCACGCACACACCACGCACACACACACATACCTGCACGCGCGCACACACACACACACCACACACACACACACACACCTGCACGCGCGCACACACAAAGACACACACACACGTGTGTCCGCGCTGCCGCTGCCCCGGAGGCCCCAGGCGGGGGGCCGGAGGGTGAGCCTGCCGCTGCCACCACCGGTACACACACACACACACACACACACACATGTCCATGCTGCCGCACACGTCACACCTGCACACACACACATACGCACACACCCCCCACACACAGCCCACACACACATGTGTGTCCGCACTGCAGCTGCCCCGGAGGCCCGGGCCCCGGGTGGAGAGCCGGAGGGTGAGCCTGCCTGCCACTGCCACGCCCACACCACGTGTGTCCGCGCACACCGCAATGTCACAGCTGCGTGCACACACATATACACATGTGCACACACCTGTGCGTATAAACCCACACCCCCACACACGTGCACACTTGCATGCGCACACACACCACGTTTGTGTACACACACCTGTGTATATAAACCCACTCACACCTGCATATTGGCACACGCGTGCACACACCAGTACACGTGAACCCATGCGCAGGAAACCTGTGTACACATGAACCTGTGCACACATTTGTGTGTGCTCGCACGCCCAAACATGTGCAAACATCCACACCTACACGCACACCTGTGTACACAGGCATACCTGCACACCTGCACACTCTTGCACACACACACACGTACACATGCACTCATGCACACATGCACAATGCACAGGACCACAACCTTCACCACGTTACAGGGGTAGCTGAGTGCCAGTTTGCCCTGTTTGTGTGGCTGCTCTGTCCCCTTGAGGCCTGGGCTCCTGCTGCCCTTTGCCCCCCTGCCCCCTCCCCCTGCCCCCTGTCCCCTGCCCCCTGCCCCCTGCCCCCTGCCCCCTGCCTCCTACTCCCTGCCCCCTACCCCTTGCCCCCTGCCCCCAACCCCCTGCTCCCTGTCCCCTAACCCCCTGCTCCCGGTCCCCCAACCCCCTGCCCCCTGCCCCCAACCCCCTGCTCCCTGTCCCCCAACCCCCTGCTCCCATCCCCTGCCCCCTGCCCCCTGCCCCCTGCCCCCTGCCCGAGCGTTGCCTGGGGCTGGGGCAGGCCCCCACTGTAGGATCCCCTGAGTGATGGAGGGGCAGGCCAGTCTCAGGGCCACGCCCATCCCGGGGGGCTGCCCAGAGGCCCCTCGCCTCGTGGGAAAGGGCAGCTGAGCTCTGAGAAGTGTCCTCGGGCACAGAACAGGGGTGCCGTCACAGCAGGCTGAGGTGTGTGTGTGGGGGGCCGTCAGGGTCCCTCGGGGGCAGTGAGCCCCCAGGGCCGTATGGGCAGGTGGGGTGCACACCTGTCTCAGGGGCGGGTGGCACAGTGTCTCCTAGTTTCTGGAGAGCCCTGCCCACCTCACCACAGACCCCACCGCCCTTCAAGGCTGGGGGGGAGGGCTGGTCCCCGGGCACATTCAGACGCGGTGTGTGTCCCGCCCCACCGGGTGCAGGGGCCCTGGCTCCACCACAGACTCGAGGTCGCTCCGTGCAGGGGGCTGACAGATGGCCGTTTATTTTCAGTCTCAAGATGTTGGGAGGGGAAGGAACAGTGCCTGAGGCTTCAGGGGATGGCGGGCAGCGTGCCCAGCTGGGCAGAGATGTGAGGTCCCTGCCCTTCCCCGGCCAGGCGGCCCCTGGGCACACCTGGGGGCACAGGAGGGCAGCTGGCCTTGGGCCTTGGTCTGAGCAGCGTCCCCGCGGGGCGGAGAGGAGGCAATCAGGGAAGGCTTTCTGGCGGAGGAGAGGGGAAGCTTGGGCTGAGCCTCCGGGCATGAAGCCGTGGGGGGCAGCGCCTGCTCTCCTGCCGGGGTGACCGTGTGGAGCCACAGGAAGTCTGAGGGGACCCAGGCAGAGGGTGGGCATCGGGGTCAGTGGGTCACGGTCACACCTCCATGTGCTTGTCCATCACCTGCCCTTGGCCTCCGGTGCACCCCCACCCTGGACTCCGAGGGGTCAGGATGGAGTCCTACATCCCGAGCAGAGCTGGACCAGTTGTCAGCCTGTGGAGGGGCCGGGGGTGCCGGAGGCAGGGGGTTCAGGGTGCTGGGCCTGTGCATGAGCTTGGGGAGGGAGGGGCCGGCTGTGCCTGGGGCAGGGGCCTGGCAGGGAAGGGACCCCGTCAACAGTGCGCTCAGTCCTGTGGGGCCGGGGTCACTGCGGCCGAGGTGAGCAGAGCAGATGGGGGCAGGGCCGGGTCCGCCTCGGAGGGTGGAGCCGTGGCCGAGGCAGGGAGCCGGCAGCTGCATGGGGTCCCAGAAGCTGCTTCACTGAGGGCTGACGGCACTCACCATGCGGCCGCGGCCTGCGGAAAGCACTAGAACTGGATGCAATGAGTTCCCAGCAGCCCTCTGGGCTGCAGCCAGCTCACCTGCTACCCCGCCCTCAGCCCCCTCAGCCCCCTCCTCCGGGAAGGCCGCCTGGCTCCCTGGAGAAGCTGCCTGCCCACCTGCCTGCCTGGTGCTGGCTCACCCGTCCCTACCTGCCCCCCCGCCCCCAGGCTGAGGAGGACGTGGAGTCCGGGGAGGACGCCGGAGCCAGCAGACGGAACAGCCGGCTGCTCGTGCACAGCCTCTCCAAGCGCAAGGTTGAGGGAGGGGCTGGGTGGGGTCCTCCCTGCCCCCCTGCACCCGCTGTGCCTCCTCCAGCCCCCAGGGCCCTGGGCCCACCTCCCAGCACTGCCCTCTGAGCTCCTAACTGCCCTCCCTCCACAGAAGAGGAGCAGCAAACTGAAGAAGGTGGCCAGCGTGGAGGAGGCGGACGAGGACCTGGACCCGCAGGGCAGCCAGAACCGAGGGTCAGGGCCTGCCCCCCAGACCCTCCCATAGACAGACAGTGCCATTGCCCTGGCCACGGCGAAAGCCAGATGTGCCCGCCCTGGGGGCTCCGGGCGGGCAGAGGGGCGGGAGGGGCCGGGGTGTGGCCGGAAGAGAGGGCCTGCGCCATCCAGGTCACAGGTCAGAGGGGTCCGCTGGGGGCTCCGTGCCGCCCGCCCCCGTGTCGCCTCCCAGCGCGTCCGCTGTGTCCACGGCCCGTCCTGGGCCTGGACGGACTTCTCCGCCTCTTGGCCCGGAGCCCACCCAGGTCCTGACCCCTGACCCCCCGCCCCCGCCCCCGCCCCCAGGGCCGCCCGGCAGAGGAAGACCATGCAGCTGTCACGGGCCCTGTCGGACCTGGTCAAGTACACCAAGTCCGTGGGCTCCCACGACGTGGACACGGAGGGTGAGGGCGCCGGGCGCGGGGGCGCCGTGGTGGTGGGGGCAGACCCAGCCCTGACCCCGCCGTGACCCCGCCGTGACCCCCGGGCGCCCGCAGTGGCGTCCAGCTGGCAGGTGTCCTCCTTCAGCGAGACGCGGGCCCAGCAGCTCCTGCAGCAGAAGCCGGCCCAGTACCTGCGCTTCAACCAGCGCCAGCTGTCCCGCATCTACCCCTCATCCTACCGCGTGGACTCGAGCAACTACAACCCCCAGCCCTTCTGGAACGCCGGCTGCCACATGGGTGGGTCCAGCGCCGCCCGGCTCCACGGCCAGGGCGCAGCGGCCAGGGGGCGCAGTGGCCAGGGGGGCGCAGAGGTGGGGGGGCACGGAGGTCAGGGGGCCACGGAGGTCGGGAGTCATGGATGTTGGGGGGCACGGAGGTCAGGGGGGGCTCGGAGGTCAGGGGGGCGCGAAGGTCAGGGGTCATGGAAGTTGTGGGGGCGCAGAGGCCTGAAGGGGTACGGCGTGTGCTCTGAGCGCCTCTGCTTGCTTTTCTCTGCGGCTCTGGACCTGCCCAGTGTCCAGCCAACCTCACCGCCTGGTGCAGGGCTGGGTCCTCATCCTGGGGCACCTGAGGGCCGGGCGTCTGCCTGGACGGATGCCCCTGTGAGGCCCAGCCCTGCCGTGCCAGCGACTGCTGGGCGCGCGGGCACCGTGCAGGGTGTGGGAGGTCCTGGCCAGCACAGACCCCTCTCGTCCCGGCCTGCAGTCGCCCTGAACTACCAGTCGGAGGGGCGGATGCTGCAGTTGAACCGCGCCAAGTTCAGCGCCAACGGCAACTGCGGCTACGTGCTCAAGCCACAGTGCATGTGCCAGGGTGAGGGGCACGGGGTGAGGGCATGGGGTGAAGGGCACGGGGCCAGGGTGAGGGGCACGGGGCCAGGGTGAGGGGCACGGGGCCAGGGTGAGGGTCACAGGGCCCAGGGTCAGGGGCACGGGGCCCAGGGTGAGGGGCACGGGGCCAGGGTCAGGGGCACGGGGCCAGGGTGAGGGTCACAGGGCCCAGGGTCAGGGGCACGGGGCCCAGGGTGAGGGGCACGGGGCCAGGGTCAGGGTCAGGGTCACGGGGCCCAGGGTGAGGGGCACGGGGCCAGGGTGAGGGTCACAGGGCCAGGGTCAGGGTCACGGGGCCCAGGGTAAGGGGCACGGGGCCAGGGTCAGGGTCAGGGTCAGGGTTACGGGGCCCAGGGTGAGGGGCACAGGCCCCAGGGTGAGGGGCATGGGGCCCAGGGACGGGGCGGGGATCCCGCTGGCAACTGCGTCCCGGCCTTGGCAGGACCCTCCCTCCTCCGACACCTCGGTTTCTCCCCGGCCTCCTGCCCCCTCCCCCCAGGCACCTTCAACCCCAACTCCGAGGACCCCCTGCCCGGGCAGCTCAAGAAGCAGCTGGTGCTGCGGATCATCAGCGGGCAGCAGCTCCCCAAGCCACGCGACTCGATGCTGGGGGACCGCGGGGAGGTAGGGGCGCGGGCGCGGGGGCGGAGGGGCCCCGGCGGCCCGGCCTCACCCGGTCCCCCCCCAGATCATCGACCCCTTCGTGGAGGTGGAGGTCATCGGGCTTCCGGTGGACTGCAGCAAGGAGCAGACCCGCGTGGTGGACGACAACGGTGAGGCGCCGCCCAGTGCTGCCACCCGCGGCTGGGCTGGCCGGGAGCCGAGGGGCCCGGGCCATCCTGTCCCCACGCGGCTGTCCCGGCAGGGCCCCCCGGGCCCCAGGGCGGCCCCCTCGGCACGTGACCCCGTCCGGGAGGAAGTGGGGGCCCAGGCGGCCCTGGGCCAGAGCTGGGGGGAGTGACACCTCCTCCCGGTGGCCGCCAGGGTTCAACCCCATGTGGGAGGAGACCATGGTGTTCGTGGTGCACATGCCCGACCTCGCCCTCGTGCGCTTCCTCGTCTGGGACCACGACCCCATCGGCCGTGACTTCATCGGCCAGAGGACCCTGGCCTTCAGCAGCATGATGCCAGGTGCCGGGCCGGCAGGGCGGGAGGGCGGGGCCCCGGCCCACGACCCCACGGAGACTGGTCCCTGCAGCCACCGAGGGGCCAGGCCGGGGGGCTCAGCTTCCCTGGGAGAGGGCTTCGGCCACGGGAGGAGGGACCCAGAGGGAGCCGAGGGAAAGGCCACGGGTACTCTGTGGACGGGTTGGAGGGGCGCCCAGGCTGGGGAGCCGCCCCCCCTCCAGGAGGAGGGAGGTCCCTGTGGGCAGGCCATTCCCAGCAGCTTCCGAGCCCAGGACTGGGCTGTGGGTGGGCACAGGACCTGGGGCGGGCGGGGCGTGGGGGCGGGGCGCGGGGCGGGACGAGCCTGACGTGGCGTGCCGTTCCAGGCTATCGGCACGTGTACCTGGAGGGCATGGAGGAGGCCTCCATCTTTGTCCACGTGGCCATCAGCGACGTCAGTGGTAAGGTGAGTCCTCCCCGCAGGGCCGCCCGCACACCCCGGCAGGGACCCGGCCCTGAGATGTGGGGGGGACCCTGCGGGCCTGTCTCCACCCGTGATGGTGACCAGGGCACCTGAGCCACGGGCCCGGCAGCCACGGCAGCAACAGCACCAGGATGTGGGCATCCTGGCCCTCCGAGCGCCCCCCACCCTCCTGTCTGTCTCTTGAACCCCTCCTGTCTGTCTCTTGAACCCCTCCCTTCCAGCACCCCGGCTCTTCACCTCCTCAGAAGGCGAGGCCTGGCTCTCCCCCTTCCCTCCACCCCCAGCACCCCGCCTGCCTCTGCTGGGACTGGTCTGGCTTCACTCTCCCAGTCATCAGGGCTCAGGGGTCCCAGGGCCGGTGTCAGGGCCCGGGTAGCCCCGGCACTAACCGTCTCTCTCCCGCCACGGGCCACGGGCCACGGGCCACGGGCCACGGGCCGAGCCGCCGGCTGGACGCGGGCTCCGCAGGCTTCCCAGCGCTCCGCCTTCTGCCGTCCGTCCGTCCATCCACCTGTCCGTCCGTCTGTCGTGTGTCCGCGGCCCGCGCCCGCTGTCCGTGCCTCACGGCCGCCGCTCTGTCTCTTGGTCTTGCAGTGGCGCCCTAGGCCCCGCCCCGCCCGCCTTTAGGAGCAAAGCCCCTTAGGAGCTCGAGGTACCCGGCGCGGGGCGCGGGCGCAGTGCCACCCGCATGCTCGGGCGCCGTTAGCATCCGTGACCCCCGGCAGCCCGTGGGGGCTGCTCGCCCGCTCACGGGACACGGATGGCGGCGGGTCTGGGGTCCTGGTCGCTCGGGCCATCGCCAGCCACAGGGCAGCCTTTAGAAGCAGGTCCAGGACTGGCCAGGCCTCCCGCGGGCCCCTCGGCCTCGCCCGCGTCCCGTCAGGCTGCGAGCTCTCCCGCTCCCCCACCCGCTCCCTGCACCCCTCGTGTGCCCCGTGTGCTCCTCACTCCGGGACCAGGGGCTCCGAGCTCCAGTCCTGGATCTTCCTCTAAGTGGCCTCCCAGCCATTGGGACCCATCGCTCTGCCTTTGGGACCTTGAATCCGGAAGTGGATTCAAGTGCTGGCCACACGCCTCTGCCCGGTGGGGTCCCCCCTGTCCCTGGTCACTGCATGTGGGGACCCTCCGGCCTGGCCTCGGGGCTGCAGCTGATGGCCTCGCTGGCACGCGCCCGCCGGTCCCGGGGACCCTGCTGCCCTCCTTGGTCCAGGGGCACAGCTGGCGTGAGGCCTGCCCTGAGGCCACGTGCGTGGGGGGCGCTGAGGCTGGGCGAGGACGGGTGGGCAGGGGCATGGCGAGCAGACCTGGCTGTGCTTGCTTCTCGGCCTGCAGTGCCCGGGGGCCCAGTGAGCTGGGCCGAGCCTCCTTCACCTGCTTCTCAGCCATCTTCTCGCCACATCAGCACCGCCCTGTGGTGGGGCCGGGGTCCTGGGGCAGGTGCCCAGAGAGGTGGCACGGGGTCCAGGTTCTGAGGCCTTTGCTTGGGAGAGCCCGGGGGGTCTTGTCTGCCCTCTGACCTGCAGACCCCCCAGCTCTGCTGGCTTCACCCGTGCGGACCTGGTCAGCGCCGAGCCACAGCGGCCTCTGTCCCTGGTAGAGGCTCCCGGAGACCCCAGCGCCCCGTCCTGGCGAGCCCACGGTGCCCTCCGAGGGCTGACCCTCCGCCCGCCCGAGTGCAGCAGGGCCGGGCCGGGCGGGCGGGGCCGTCCCTGCCCCGGGCCTGGCCGCCGGCTACCTGGGCTCCTTCTCTTGCAGGTCAAGCAGGCTCTGGGCCTAAAGGGTCTGTTCCTGCGAGGCCCAAAGCCCGGCTCCCTGGACAGTCATGCTGCTGGGCGGCCCGCGCCCCGGCCCTCCGTCAGCCAGCGGCTGCTGCGGCGCACGGCCAGCGCCCCCGCCAAGAGCCAGAAGCCCGGCCCCAAGGCCTCCCCTGAGCCAGCCCGGGGCACGCCGGACGCGGGCTCCGCGGGCGAGGGCCTGGACGTGGCACCTCCCAGCCCCGGCCCGGCCCCCGAGGCCCCGGCCCGGGAGGAGCCGGGAGGCCCCAGCCCCCGAGGTAAGGTGCCGGCGGACAGGAGCCCCGGGCAGGGCCGGCCGCCGCGCGGCCCCGAGGACCCCGGGCCCGCCGGGATGGCCGCCTCCTGCATGAAGTGCGTGGTGGGCTCCTGCGCCGGCGAGGACGCCGAGAGCCTGCGGAGGGCGCGGCCCCCCAGCCCGGGGCCCCCGGCCGGGCACGAGGCCGTCTGCCAGCAGCCCCGGGCCCGGGCGGACGTGCTGGGGGCCCCCTGTGCTGCCCCGGGCGGAGGCGGCAGAGGGTCCCCCCCGGGGCCGGGCTCGGGCAGCCCGGAAGGGGCCCCCCGCTGGCCCGAGGGCGCCCGCCGGACGCCGGGGGCCCTGCAGAGGGAGATGAACGCCCTGTTCGTTCAAAAGCTGGAGGAGATTAGGAGTAAATCCCCCATGTTCTCCACCGGTAAGACGGGGCGCCCCCGCCCCGTGGCCCGCCCCCGCTCCGCATGGCCTGGCCGGCCCCCCTCGCTGTGCTTCGTGTCCGCTGCCGCCCGTGTGCTCTGCCCGCATCCCCTGCTCCGATGGCTGCCCCTCGGCCCCAGCCTCCCCCCTGCCTGACCCAGCCTGACCCCAGCCTCTTGCTTTTGGGGGGCCCCATCCATCCACAAGAACCCAGTCCAGCCCAGCGCTCTCACCCCGCAGTGTCCCCTGGGCAGGGACTGAGCCGGGCTGTGCCCAGAGGCCTGCAGCTGAGCGAGGCCCCTGGCCCGGCCCTGTGCCCCTGCCGGTCCCCTCCCTGGCCTGGCTGCTCCTGCCGGCTTTCCTCGGACCTGGGCAGCGACCAACCCCCCTCCCCCGCCCGCCGGCCTCCTTCTAGGGCCAGGCTGAGGGTCCTGCCCTGCCCCCGCCACAGTCCTCGGGGAGCGGGCCCGCTGCCCCTGACTCCCGGAGGGGCTCCGAGCACTGCCGTGGGGCCCACATCGCAGCTCCCTCGCTCCCCGGCCGGCCGAGGTGCCTTCACGGCCTGGAATGCAGGCGGCCTGCCCGAGCCCCGCCCACCGGCCGGCCCAGCACAGTGCCAGGGGGCGGGGCACAGGCTGGGGAGGGGGACGCTGGGCCTTCCTGCTCCCTTCCCTGCACCCCGCCCTGCTGTCCCTCTGCCACTGGCCAGCCCCGCCCCCACGCTGACCACCCTATTCTTTCTGTCCCCATGCGGACCCCGTAGTTAGGAACTGAGCGCAGCCAAGTGCCAGGTAATGGGGCAGCCCCGTGTGCCCCTGTACAGCCCCCCGCGTGCCCTGAGTGGCCCTGTGTGGGCTGTGTGCCCAGTGTGCCCTGTGTGGGCTCCGTGTGCCCCGTGTGGCCCCGTGTGCCCTGTGTGGGCTCCGTGTGCCCCATGTGGGCTCCGTGTGCCCCGTGTGGCTCCGTGTGCCCCGTGTGGGCTCCGTGTGCCCCGTGTGGGCTCCGTGTGCCCCATGCGGACTCCGTGTGCCCCGTGTGCCGTGTGGCCCTGTGTGGGCTGTGTGCCCAGTGTGCCCTGTGTGCCCCATGTGGCTTTGTGTGCCCCATATGGGTTCCGTGTGCCCCATGCGGGCTTCGTGTGCCCTGTGGGGCCCGTGTGCCCCATGTGGGCTCCGTGTGCCCCGTGTGGCTCTGTGTGCCCCATGTGGTTCCGTGTGCCCCGTGCGGGCTCTGTGTGCCCCGTGTGGGCTCTGTGTACCCCGTGTGTGCCCCATGTGGATTCCGTGTGCCCCGTGTGGGCTCCGTATGCCCCATGTTGGCTCCATGTGCCCTGTGTGGGCTCTGTGTGCCCTGTGGGGCCCGTGGGCCCCGTGTGGGTTCCATGTGCCCCGTGTGGGCTCCGTGTGCCCTGTGGAGCCCGTGTGCCCTGTGGGGCCCGTGTGCCCTGTGGAGCCTTGCCTGGAGGGCAGTGGCAGTGGAGTGGAGGGCATCGAGCAGGCTGCCGGGTGCCCTGGAGGGGCTGGTCACAGGGGCCTGTGGGCATGGGCTGCGCCCGACGCCCCCTCTCCTCTCCCCGCAGATCCCCGCCCCTTCTCCATGCAGAGGTCGGTCTCCTTGCTGTGCAGCCTGGCGACCATTGCCGAGGAGCCAGCGCTGGGCCCCGGGCCCCCGCCTCAGCCGGCCACCCCGCCAAGCCCCGCCCAGGGGGGGCCCTGGTGCGCCACGGGCCCCGCAGCCACGGCTGAGCGCCCCCCAGGGGTGCCCCTCCGGCTCAGGACCCGGAGCCAGGGGGACACAGAGCCGGCCCCCCACAGCAGGAGGCAGGCGTGCCGTGGTGGGGGCCCCAGCGGAGCGTGTGAGGGGGTGCCCGGCGGCCAGATGGACGGCAGGGGCGCCCCCCGGGGCCCGGGCCACCTGCCCTCGGTCAGGAGGGCCAAGAGTGAGGGGCAGGTGCCCTCGGAGCCCCCGGGCGAACGCCGGGCCCCGGCCGGGCCCTCCCCAGCCCTGTACTCGGACGCCACGGCCGGAGACCGGCTCTGGCAGCGGCCGGAGCCCGGCGGCCACTGCGACAGCGTGTCCTCATCCTCCAGCCTGTCGTCCGGAGACACGGTCATCGACCTCTCGCTGCCGCGCCTGGGCCTGGGCCTGGGCCTGGGGCGGGAGAGCCTGCTGGGGGCCCCGGCCGCCTGCCGGCCCCTGCGGCCCTGCCCGGCCTCGGCCGCTCGCCCGGACTTCCTGTCGGCGACCAAGAGCAGATCCAGCCCCAACCTGCGGGCGGCGGGCCCGTTCCCCGTGGCCCCCGACGCGCTGCGGCCCCGGCCCCCGGCCCCCCAGGCTCCCCTCAGGGACGGCCCCGTGTCCGCCAAGTCCAAGAGCCTGGGGGACCTGACGGCCGCCGACTTCGCCCCCCGGGTCCAGGGCCCGGGCAGGAGCCTGGGCCGCGGCCTATGCCCGGCCGGGGAGGGGCGGGCGGGGCGGGCGGCCCGGGGGGACCCCCTGACGGAGCAGCTGCTCTGGCTCACGGGCTTCCAGCAGGCGGGGGACGTCACCTCGCCCACCAGCCTGGGCCCGGCTGGGGAGGGGGCGGCGGGCGGCCCCGGCTTCCGGCGCCGCTCCTCCCGCAGCCAGAGCCGCGTGCGCGCCATCGCCAGCCGCGCGCGCCAGGCCCAGGAGCGGCAGCGGCGACGGCAGGGCCCGTGGGGGCCTCGCGAGGAGGAGCGGGGTGCCCCTGAGGGTGCCTGCTCTGCGGGCCCGGAGGGCTGCGGGGACGTGGCCGCCCCCGAGGGCGCTGCCGGCATCCTGCTCAGACTGTGACCGCCCTGCAGCCCCTGCTGGTCCCAGAGCTGTGCCCCGGCGCCCGCCCTCGGCCCAGGCCTCTCCGGGGGGGAGGGAAGGCAGCCCCCCACCCGGCAGTGTTGTCACGGCGCTTTACCACGTGTGCACAGAGACAAAGCTTCTATGGCATTAAAACGGGCCGAGTGCTCCGTTTCCCAGGTCTTTGCTGTGTGGTGTGTGTGTGCCCAGCCCGTGAGTGCCCAGGCCCTGCCCTGGCTTGCTCTGCAGGGTCTCTGCTCTGTGCCACTCTAGACTCTAAATTCCCGAACACGACTGCAAAGAACACGCTCGCACTCGCTGTGGGCGGCCCCGTGGCCTCCTGCCGGTGTCCTGTGTGCAGCGTGACCTCCACCCCAGCGCTGAGTGGACTGGCTCCGCCTGTGCCCTGCTGCCCGGGCAGTGCAGGCGCCTGGCTCCCAGCAGAGCCACCTGCAGGGCCCAGGGCCCCGGCTTCCGTGGGGGCAGTGACCGGGAGCCTCAGTGGAAAGGAAAGGGTGGGCAGGAAGGTGGACACTCAGGGCCCTGGGGGGACGGCCCGGTGGCCTTGCCTGAGCCCACCCGGCACTCGTTGCTGGTTCCTCCAAGGCTGGGGGTGGCAGGCCCACGCAGCACCTGGCGGGCTCCCCGAAATCCTAAGAAACACGCATAGACTCAGCCCTCCCGCCTGGCGCACACGCGGGGCCTTGCAGGTCCCCAAAGGAGTCTTGCGTGATGGCGCCAGCCTGCACCCCAAGGACACGTCCCGTTGGGGGAGCAGCCAGGGAAAGGGGCTCCTGCCACCGGTGCCACCGCCAGGGCTGGGCCGGGGAGCCCCCACGCCCGGGCAGGGCTGTGGGCACAGGCTCAGGCCACGGCAACGAAGCCCAAGGTCTGAGGAGCTCTGAAGACGCACCGGCCGCCGAGAGCCCTCCGCCGAGGCTCCGCTCGCCTGCCCTCAGCGGAGCTGCCCGGGCCCTGCCTGGCCCCGCTCAGCGGCCTGGGCGGAGCAGTGGGGCCTCGCTCTGGGCGTGGCTGCAGAGGCATCGCCGGGGAGGGTCGCAGGCTCCGGGCGGCGCAGCGGAGGCACAGGCTCGGGCTCGCTCTAGAAACTCTATTAGGCGCGTGCCGCGCCCATGCGCCGACAGGCAGATAGATATCTCACATGTACAAAAGTTATTTAACAGTTAAATACATCCAGCGCGAATGTCCCGGGCGGGCAGGCCTCCGGCACAGACCCAGCGGCCTGAGGCGCGCCCGGCGCCGGGAGCAGCCGCCGCGCCCGCCTGAGTCACAGAAGCACGACATAAATGGCGACGGCGCCCGGTGCCGTCCAGTCCGTCCCTGACGCCGCGGGCGGCGGGCTCACTCGGCCGGGACCTCGAACTTGAAGATGACGCTGAAGAGCCGGCCGCCCAGGCGCGCGGCCAGCCAGGGGTTCTTGAGCACGGCCAGCTTGAGGCTCTCGCAGCGCAGGGCGGCGCCGTAGTTGGTGTGCACGGCCCGGCCCATGCCCTCGATCACCACCAGGTCCGTGCCGCGCTCCTGCACCAGCACCGCCAGCCTCTCGTCCAGGCGGCTGCGGGAGGAGGGCAGTGAGGCGGGCTCCGTGACCGCGCGGCCACCCCCGCCTGCCCCGGGCACGGAGACCCCTCCGGACTGGGCTCCCAGGCCGGCCCGCGGGCAGCGGCCGCCACGGCGCAGCGGGCAGCCCGGCTGGAAGCAGCGGCAGCGACGCCTCCTACTCTGACCTTTAAAGGACCCGCCCCGCCCCGGCTAGTGTTGCTCAGTGGTCAGTGCGTTGGCCTGCAGACTGAAGGGTCCCAGGTTCGATTAGGGTCAAGGCTCCCTTCCCAGTAGAGGGCATGCAGGAGGCAACCAATCAATGATCCTCTCTCATCATCGAGTTTCTAGCTCTCTGGTTTCCCCTCTGTGATCAATACAAATATATTTTTAAAAAAGATTATAAAGGATCTGGTCCCACCGTGGATCTGCCTCCTGCCCTGCGGTCAGCAGTGGCCTGGCCACGGCGTGGTGATACCGGTAGGGTGACCGCCGGGTGGACTGAGACGGACAGTCCCGGCCAACATGGCTGGCGGGGTCAGGGGGGGTCTCTATGCTCAGACCGGGCAGAGCCTGATCAGGACCAGCTGCCCAGGGGGCCGGCTGCAGGCGGGGCGGCCCCTCGACCTCGGAGCCGGGCGCCCAGTGTCCACGTCTCCCGCCCACGGGAGCCAGAGCGCGGTGAGGCTGGGCTGGGGCTGAGGGCAGGGGGCTGACCGCATGGGGCGGGGAGGGGCCGGGCCAGGGGAGCGAGCGGCGGTACCTGAGGTCCAGGCAGGGGGAGCTGGAGCCCGTCTGCATGAGTAGCAGCCGCTCTTCCCGGAGCGCCGAGCTGTGGGCACAGGGCGCGGTGAGGGGGGACCGGACACGCCAGGCCCCACCAGGCCCCGCCCCACCCCGCCAGGCCCCGCCCCGCCCCGCCCCACCCCGCCCCGCCAGGCTTACTAGATAACGGGGTCCATGGCTGCGATGTGCTCGGCCACGAGGAGGGACTCGCCGTAGGTGACGTCGTTGAGGGCGGGGCCCGAGTTGCACGCCAGGATGACCTGCAGCAGACACCCCGGCGTGTGAGGGGCCCCCCGGCCGCGCAGCCCCAGCCCAGCTGCGCCCCACCCTGCCCCGCCCCCGAGCTGCGGGGGGGTGTGGCCGGGACACCGCCCAGAGGCCAGCGGAGGAGCGGCCGGGTGGAGGCAGGCGCCCGGCACCGGGTCAGGTGGAGGCAGGCGCCCGGCACCGGGTCAGGTGGAGGCAGACGCCTGGGCACCGGGTCAGGTGGAGGCAGGCGCCCGGCACCGGCCGCTGCTCGCCCGCACCTACCTGCCAGCGGAGCAGCCTGGCAAGGGCCCCGCGTGCAGCCCACACTCACCTCCGTCCCTCTAGACAGAAGCTCCCTGACAAAGGGGAAGACTCCCAAAATGACGTCTACTCCACTGTTATCTGCGAAAATTAAGGCACATTTGTGAGGGGGCCCCTGCAAGACAAAACCAGGGCGTCCAGTTGGCACAGCGTGGCCAAGCGTTCCAGCCCCTCCGCCCGCCCGCCCGCCACTCCCGGACGGCGGCTGCTGGGCCCGGGCGCTGGGCGGCCTGAGCTTCCAGAGCCGCTTCCCCTGCGCCCTCTGGGCTGAGGCCAGGCCCCCCTGGGGGTTCCCGGGGGCTCAGGCTCGGGACAGGAACGGTCAGCTGGGCCTTGCCGCCGGGGTGCTGGCGGGACGCAGGGCCCCCGCCCCGCCCCTCCTGTGACCCCGCTGGTCCCGCGCATGTGGCCCGGGGCGGCGGCGGCATGTACCTTCAGTCTCTGCAGCCACGTGTCGTACGAGTCCACCAGCCAGGGCCGCTCTGCGGGCACAGGGTGCGGTCAGCGCTCCCCTCAACCACCTCACACCCCTCCCCCACAGAGCTCAGGAAGCGGTCCCCCCGCCTCCACAGGCCCCCCCGCCCACCCCCATTCCCAACCCCTCACCCTACCGCCCCCATTCCCACCCACCCCTCACCCTACACCCCCATTCCCACCCACCCCTCACCCTACCGCCCCCATTCCCACCCACCCCGGCCCCAGGGGCGCCCCGGGCGTCCTACCTTCCAGCTTCCTCTTCGCCTCCTCAAACCCAAACTGGGGGTCAGACTCGAGGACGCTGCACGGGGAGGAAAGAGGGAGTCTCACACCGGGACTCGGCCGCGGCTCCCCGTCCACCGCGCTGGGCCTGTCATCAGCGCTGCCCCCGGCCCGAGAGGACAGGGCCTCCCACTTCAGACAGACGCCACGGGGGCCCTGCTCCTGGGGGGCCCTGCTCCTGGGGGGCCTGCTCCACAGGGGGGCCTTCATCCATGGGGGCCCTGCTCCACAGGGGGCCCTACTCCTGGGGGGCCCTGCTCCACGCGGTGACCAGCACTGGCCTTGGCCAGCGGGAACGTCAGCCCCAGGACCACACCCCTAGCCCACAGGCGCCCTCTGGGGAAGGAGGGGCCCCCACCCCCGCAGCTGAGCCGTCTAGGACCCTCACTGCGCCTCCTCACGGCCTGGCCGGGCAGGGCTGCTCCATGTGACCCATCCCAGGGACCATGCCAGGACCCGTCTCAGCAGCTGCTGGGCCCGGAGCCCTGAGGGCTGTGGGGAGGGGACCCCGGGAGGCGGGCGGGGCACCCACTCGGACACGGCCTTGGCGCCCCAGTCGAAGACGTTGCCGGCCAGCAGGCCCCGCACCAGCGCCAGCTGCCGCTCCTCCCAGGCCAGCGCGTCCAGCGCCTGCACCACCTGCCGGAAGCACCGCAGCGCCAGGCCGTTCTCCTTCTGCTTCACCTGCGGGCGACGAGCCGGCTGACCCCCGAGGGCAGGGCCGCCCCGACCGACCCGCCCGCCCGCCCGCCCGAGCTTCCCGCCCCGGCCGGCCCGGCTGCCGCGGCTCAGGCACCGGTGACCAGGGCAGGCCGCAAGGGCCAGGACCTCACGGCACTGCTGCCCCCGCTGGTAGATCCTGGCGCACGCACCCCAGGCCCCACCCAGACCCTCCGTGCGCAGGGCAGGGCACGGGATCGCTGTGGAGCGGGCCTGGACTTCCTCGCCCCGGTCACCCTGAGGCAGGACAGACGCCCACAAACCCGTGGCCTCGGGAGGCCAGGGGGACGGGCACACGGGGAGCCCGCTCCCTGGGAGGCCGCGCCCTCCTGGTCAGCACACAGGCCCTGGTTCCACACGTCCACAGCCCAGCCCACGCCCCCGTGACCCCCCGCCACCCCCACTGGCCGAGGGGAGCACTCTGCCCGGTCCCCACGGCCTCCGGCTGCGGCTCTTCAGCGGGTGCTGCTCCAGGTGCAGCCCCAGCGCTGGGGCCGGGCGGCGGCCAAACCCCATGCCGCCGGCACTCACCGGGAGGGGGGTCAGCCCGGCACTCACCTGGGAGTGGGGTCAGACGCCCCTCACTCACCGGGAGTGGGGTCAGCCCGGCACTCACAGGGAGTGGGGTCAGCCCGGCACTCACTCACCGGGAGTGGGGTCAGCCCGGCACTCACCGGGAGTGGGGTCAGCCCGGCACTCACCTGGGAGTGGGGTCAGACGCCCCTCACTCACCGGGAGTGGGGTCAGCCCGGCACTCACAGGGAGTGGGGTCAGCCCGGCACTCACTCACCGGGAGTGGGGTCAGCCCGGCACTCACCGGGAGTGGGGTCAGCCCGGCACTCACTCACCGGGAGTGGGGTCAGCCCGGCACTCACTCACCGGGAGTGGGGTCAGCCCGGCACTCACTCACCGGGAGTGGGGTCAGCCCGGCACTCACTCACCGGGAGTGGGGTCAGCCCGGCACTCACTCACCGGGAGTGGGGTCAGCCCGGCACTCACCGGGAGTGGGGTCAGCCCGGCACTCACTCACCGGGAGTGGGGTCAGCCCGGCACTCACCGGGAGTGGGGTCAGCCCGGCACTCACTCACCGGGAGTGGGGTCAGCCCGGCACTCACTCACCTGGGAGTGGGGTCAGCCCAGCACTCACTCACCTGGGAGTGGGGTCAGACGCCCCTCACTCACCTGGGAGTGGGGTCAGCCCGGCACTCACTCACCTGGGAGTGGGGTCAGCCCGGCACTCACTCACCTGGGAGTGGGGTCAGCCCGGCACTCACTCACCTGGGAGGGGGGTCAGCCCAGCACTCACTCACCTGGGAGTGGGGTCAGACGCCCCTCACTCACCTGGGAGTGGGGTCAGCCCGGCACTCACTCACCTGGGAGTGGGGTCAGCCCGGCACTCACTCACCTGGGAGCGGGGTCAGCCCGGCACTCACTCACATGGGAGCGGGGTCAGACGCCCCTCACTCACCTGGGAGCGGGGTCAGCCCGGCACTCACTGGGAGTGGGGTCAGACGCCCCTCACTCACCTGGGAGTGGGGTCAGACGCCCCTCACTCACCTGGGAGTGGGGTCAGACGCCCCTCACTCACCTGGGAGTGGGGTCAGCCTGGCACTCACTCACCTGGGAGTGGGGTCAGCCCGGCACTCACCTGGGAGTGGGGTCAGACGCCCCTCACTCACCTGGGAGGGGGGTCAGCCCAGCACTCACTCACCTGGGAGTGGGGTCAGACGCCCCTCACTCACCTGGGAGTGGGGTCAGCCCGGCACTCACTCACCTGGGAGTGGGGTCAGCCCGGCACTCACTCGGGAGTGGGGTCAGCCCGCCCCTCACTCACCTGGGAGGGGGGTCAGCCCAGCACTCACTCACCTGGGAGTGGGGTCAGACGCCCCTCACTCACCTGGGAGTGGGGTCAGACGCCCCTCACTCACCTGGGAGTGGGGTCAGCCCACCCCTCACTCATCTGGGAGTGGGGTCAGCCCGGCACTCACTCACCTGGGAGTGGGGTCAGCCCACCCCTCACTCACCTGGGAGGGGGGTCAGCCCGCCCCTCACTCACCTGGGAGGTGGGTCAGCCCGCCCCTCACTCACCTGGGAGTGGGGTCAGCCCGGCACTCACTCACCTGGGAGGGGGGTCAGCCCGCCCCTCACTCACCTGGGAGGGGGGTCAGCCCGCCCCTCACTCACCTGGGAGTGGGGTCAGATGCCCCTCACTCACCTGGGAGGGGGGTCAGATGCCCCTCACTCACCTGGGAGTGGGGTCAGACGCCCCTCACTCACCTGGGAGTGGGGTCAGCCCGCCCCTCACTCACCTGGGAGGGGGGTCAGCCCAGCACTCACTCACCTGGGAGTGGGGTCAGCCCGCCCCTCACTCACCTGGGAGTGGGGTCAGCCTGCCCCTCACTCACCTGGGAGTGGGGTCAGACGCCCCTCACTCACCTGGGAGTGGGGTCAGCCCGCCCCTCACTCACCTGGGAGTGGGGTCAGCCCGGCACTCAGCTGGGAGTGGGGTCAGCCCGGCACTCACCTGGGAGTGGGGTCAGACGCCCCTCACTCACCTGGGAGTGGGGTCAGCCTGCCCCTCACTCACCTGGGAGTGGGGTCAGACGCCCCTCACTCACCTGGGAGCGAGGTCAGCCCGCCCCTCACTCACCTGGGAGTGGGGTCAGCCCGGCACTCAGCTGGGAGTGGGGTCAGCCCGGCACTCACCTGGGAGTGGGGTCAGACGCCCCTCACTCACCTGGGAGTGGGGTCAGCCCGCCCCTCACTCACCTGGGAGGGGGGTCAGCCCAGCACTCACTCACCTGGGAGTGGGGTCAGCCCGCCCCTCACCCGGGAGTGGGGTCAGCCCGCCCCTCACCTGGGAGTGGGGTCAGCCCGCCCCTCACTCACCTGGGAGTGGGGTCAGCCCGCCCCTCACCCGGGAGTGGGGTCAGCCCGCCCCTCACCTGGGAGTAGGGGTCCGGGAAGTTGAACTCATTCAGGCAGTGCTCCCTCGTGTCCAAGAGGCTGCGCACCGTCAGGGTCCCGTAGGCGCTGCAGACAGAGCCCGGAGGAGGGCTGAGCGGGCGGATGCCGTCCGGGCCCCCTCCCAGCGCCCGCGCCCACAGCGCCCGCGCCCACCGCAGAGAGGGGACGGGCGGGCTCGGGGGCAGGGGGATGGAGGGGAGGAGGGGGCACCGTGCTCACAAGGGCTGGAGGCGCAGCGTCTGCAGCTTGTCCCAGTACTTGTGGCGGAATTTCTCTGCCCGCTCCGTCGCGTCCGCCGACCCCGGCTGGCTGGCCACGGCTCGCTTCACCACCTGCCGAGGTCGGGGGTCAGCAGCGCCCGCAGCCCACGCGTGGACGGGGCACGGACGGGCGCTGGGGCCAGGCCTGCCTGCCCGGCAGGCCCTCCAGCTGGGTCTCTGCCGGCGGGAACGGGTCCCGGCTGCCGGCCCCGGGCTTAGGCCGTGCCGTCCGGCTCCGTCCCGAGCGGCCAGGGGGCTGGGACCGTCTTCAGAGCCGAGGGGTCCCGGCAGGAGGGGACCCTCCCAGGAAACAGACCCAGGGGCCCCAGGGGCCGAGGGCGGGCCGGTGGCCCTGTGCCTCCTGAGGACCTGGCCCTGCCGCAGGGGACAGCTCCCAGACGCCCCTCCCCGGGTCTGCCTGGGACCGGGGCCTTGGCGGCCACGCCCGCCCGCCGGGCGCCTCACCCCGTCCAGGGCCTCCTCGAAGCAGCCGAGCCAGTACTTGCGGGCCAGCGCGTCGTCCGTGAGGTCCACGGTGTCGGGCACGTAGGACGCCGGGTCCAGGAGCAGCGGCAGGCTGACCAGCGGCCGCTCCAGCCGGTCCATCTCCAGGAGGTCGAACTGGGGGTGGGATGCGGGCACATCAGCTGTGCTCTGTCCGAGGCCAACGAGCTGCCCGGGGAGAGGCCGGCAGAGCCCCCACCTCGGGGCCCGCCCGCCCGCCCGCCCGCCCAGGCCCGCGGGGCCCTCCGCCCGCTGGACCCTGTCTGCTCCCAGCGAGGTCAGTCACCCTCCCGGTCAGTCACCCGCGGTCAGTCACCCTCGGTCAGTCACCCTCCCGGTCAGTCACCCGCGGTCAGTCACCCTCGGTCAGTCACCCTCTGTCAGTCACCCTCCCGGTCAGTCACCCGCGGTCAGTCACCCTCCCGGTCAGTCACCCTCGGTCAGTCACCCTCGGTCAGTCACCCTCCCGGTCAGTCACCTTCAGTCAGTCACCCTCGGTCAGTCACCCTCCCGGTCAGTCACCCTCCCGGTCAGTCACCCGCGGTCAGTCACCCTCAGTCAGTCACCCTCGGTCAGTCACCCTCCCGGTCAGTCACCCTCCCGGTCAGTCACCTTCAGTCAGTCACCTTCAGTCAGTCACCCTCAGTCAGTCACCCTCCCGATCAGTCACCCTCCCGGTCAGTCACCCTCGGTCAGTCACCCTCCCGGTCAGTCACCCTCCCGGTCAGTCACCCTCCCGGTCAGTCACCCTCGGTCAGTCACCCTCCCGGTCAGTCACCCTCGGTCAGTCACCCTCCCGGTCAGTCACCCTCCCGGTCAGTCACCTTCAGTCAGTCACCCTCCCGGTCAGTCACCCTCCGTCAGTCACCCTCCCGGTCAGTCACCTTCAGTCAGTCACCCTCCCGGTCAGTCACCCTCCCGTCAGTCACCCTCCCGGTCAGTTACCCTCCCGGTCAGTCACCCTCGGTCAGTCACCCTCCCGGTCAGTCACCCTCCCGGTCAGTCACCCTCCGTCAGTCACCCTCCCGGTCAGTCACCCTCCGTCAGTCACCCTCCAGGTCAGTCACCCTCCCGGTCAGTCACCCTCCCGGTCAGTCACCCTCCCGGTCAGTCACCCTCCGTCAGTCACCCTCCCGGTCAGTCACCCTCCCGGTCAATCACCCTCCCGGTCAGTCACCCTCCCGGTCAATCACCCTCCGTCAGTCACCCTCCCGGTCAGTCACCCTCCGTCAGTCACCCTCCCGGTCAGTCACCCTCGGTCAGTCACCCTCCCGGTCAGTCACCCTCGGTCAGTCACCCTCCCAGTCAGTTACCCTCGGTCAGTCACCCTCAGTCAGTCACCCTCCCGGTCAGTCACCCTCCGTCAGTCACCCTCCCAGTCAGTTACCCTCGGTCAGTCACCCTCAGTCAGTCACCCTCGGTCAGTCACCCTCCCGGTCAGTCACCCTCCGTCAGTCACCCTCCCGGTCAGTCACCCTCCGTCAGTCACCCTCCCGGTCAGTCACCCTCAGTCAGTCACCCTCCCAGTCAGTCACCCTCTGTCAGTCACCCTCGGTCAGTCACCCTCGGTCAGTCACCCTCCCGGTCAGTCACCCTCCGTCAGTCACCCTCCGTCAGTCACCCTCCCGGTCAGTCACCCTCCGTCAGTCACCTTCAGTCAATCACCCTCGGTCAGTCACCCTCCCGGTCAGTCACCCTCCCGGTCAGTCACCCTCGGTCAGTCACCCTCCCGGTCAGTCACCCTCGGTCAGTCACCCTCCGTCAGTCACCCTCCGTCAGTCACCCTCCCGGTCAGTCACCCTCCGTCAGTCACCCTCCGTCAGTCACCCTCCCGGTCAGTCACCCTCCCAGTCAGTCACCCTCCCAGTCAGTCACCCTCGGTCAGTCACCTTCAGTCAATCACCCTCGGTCAGTCACCCTCCCGGTCAGTCACCCTCCCGGTCAGTCACCCTCCGTCAGTCACCCTCCGTCAGTCACCCTCCCGGTGAGTCACCCTCGGTCAGTCACCCTCCGTCAGTCACCTTCAGTCAATCACCCTCGGTCAGTCACCCTCCCGGTCAGTCACCCTCCCCGTCAGTCACCCTCGGTCAGTCACCCTCCCGGTCAGTCACCCTCGGTCAGTCACCCTCCCGGTCAGTCACCCTCCGTCAGTCACCCTCCCGGTCAGTCACCTTCAGTCAGTCACCCTCCCGGTCAGTCACCCTCCGTCAGTCACCCTCCCGGTCAGTCACCTTCAGTCAGTCACCCTCCCAGTCAGTCACCCTCCCAGTCAGTCACCCTCGGTCAGTCACCCTCGGTCAGTCACCCTCCCGGTCAGTCACCCTCGGTCAGTCACCCTCCGTCAGTCACCTTCAGTCAATCACCCTCGGTCAGTCACCCTCCGTCAGTCACCCTCCGTCAGTCACCCTCCCGGTCAGTCACCCTCGGTCAGTCACCCTCCCGGTCAGTCACCCTCCGTCAGTCACCCTCCGTCAGTCACCCTCCCGGTCAGTCACCCTCGGTCAGTCACCCTCCGTCAGTCACCTTCAGTCAATCACCCTCGGTCAGTCACCCTCCGTCAGTCACCCTCCGTCAGTCACCCTCCCGGTCAGTCACCCTCGGTCAGTCACCCTCCCGGTCAGTCACCCTCCGTCAGTCACCCTCCGTCAGTCACCCTCCCGGTCAGTCACCCTCGGTCAGTCACCCTCCGTCAGTCACCTTCAGTCAATCACCCTCGGTCAGTCACCCTCCCGGTCAGTCACCCTCCCCGTCAGTCACCCTCGGTCAGTCACCCTCCCGGTCAGTCACCCTCGGTCAGTCACCCTCCCGGTCAGTCACCCTCCCGGTCAGTCACCTTCAGTCAGTCACCCTCCCGGTCAGTCACCCTCCGTCAGTCACCCTCCCGGTCAGTCACCCTCAGTCAGTCACCCTCCCAGTCAGTCACCCTCTGTCAGTCATCCTCGGTCAGTCACCCTCGGTCAGTCACCCTCCCGGTCAATCACCCTCCCGGTCAGTCACCCTCCCGGTCAGTCACCCTCCGTCAGTCACCCTCCCGGTCAGTCACCCTCCGTCAGTCACCCTCCCGGTCAGTCACCCTCGGTCAGTCACCCTCCCGGTCAGTCACCCTCGGTCAGTCACCCTCCCAGTCAGTTACCCTCGGTCAGTCACCCTCAGTCAGTCACCCTCCCGGTCAGTCACCCTCCGTCAGTCACCCTCCCAGTCAGTTACCCTCGGTCAGTCACCCTCAGTCAGTCACCCTCGGTCAGTCACCCTCCCGGTCAGTCACCCTCCGTCAGTCACCCTCCCGGTCAGTCACCCTCCGTCAGTCACCCTCCGTCAGTCACCCTCCCGGTCAGTCACCCTCAGTCAGTCACCCTCCCAGTCAGTCACCCTCTGTCAGTCACCCTCGGTCAGTCACCCTCGGTCAGTCACCCTCCCGGTCAGTCACCCTCCGTCAGTCACCCTCCGTCAGTCACCCTCCCGGTCAGTCACCCTCCGTCAGTCACCCTCCCGGTCAGTCACCCTCGGTCAGTCACCCTCGGTCAGTCACCCTCCCGGTCAGTCACCCTCGGTCAGTCACCCTCGGTCAGTCACCCTCCCGGTCAGTCACCCTCCGTCAGTCACCCTCCGTCAGTCACCCTCCCGGTCAGTCACCCTCAGTCAGTCACCCTCGGTCAGTCACCCTCCGTCAGTCACCCTCCCGGTCAGTCACCCTCCGTCAGTCACCCTCCCGGTCAGTCACCCTCCGTCAGTCACCCTCGGTCAGTCACCCTTGGTCAGTCACCCTCCCGGCCGCCCACCTCTCCCTGTCCCCTCTGCCAGCGGGATGCCCGGCCCCGAGTGCGGACCAGACGGCGCCCACTCACCGTGCCGCCCTTCGCCCCCTGCGCGGGGCCGAGCTCGGGGGACGAGCTCATCAGCCCGGAGCTGCCCGCGTAGTTCTCACCCCAGCTGTACTGGTCGGGGTCTGGAGGGAGAAGGGTGTCACCGGGCAGCACCCCGAGAGCCTGCTGTGCGCCCCAGTCCCCGTTTCACTCATTCACCCATCCTCGCCCGCGGTGGGTTCTGACTCAGAGAAGCAGAGGGAGACGCCGTCGCTGCCTCCCGCGGGCACTGCCCGGCCGGCCGACCCCGGCAGCTGCCTCGGGAACGGAACCTGCACCCGAGTCCGGGACGCCGTCCCTCCAACAGGCTCCGGCCAGGTCCTTGGCCGACAGCGACGAGGCGGGGGGCCTTCAGAGGAGAGCCGTGTCCCTCACCGGACCTGCTTCGGTCACTCGCAGGCCGCCCTCCACCCCCCGGGCGGACACAGCCAAGGGCTAGCCCGGCCCCCCCCGCGCAGATGGGACGGGGGACGGCCATCTTTGCCGCGCCGGCCACCACGTCCGTCAACAGGGGGCGGCCAGAGGTGGGGCTGGGGACCCACCCCGCAGCCGCCCTCCCCCTCCGCAGACCCCCCTCCCCCACCCCTGTGCCCACCCCCCTCCCCCTCCACAGCCCCCCACCCCTGTGCCCACCACCCCCTCTCCCTCCGCAGACCCCCTCTCCCCACCCGGTGCCCTCCACCCCCTCCCCCTACACAGACCCCCCTCCCCCCACCCCTGTGCCCACCACCCATCCCCCTCCACAGCCCCCCACCCCTGTGCCCACCACCCCTCCCCCACCCTGTGCCCACCACCCCCTCCCCCACCCCTGTGCCCTCCACCCCCTCCCCCACCCCTGTGCCCACCCCCCCTCCCCCTCCACAGCCCCCCACCCGTGCCCACCACCCCCTCCCCCTCCACAGCCCCCCACCCCTGTGCCCACCACCCCCTCCCCCACCCTGTGCCCTCCACCCCCTCCCCCTACACAGACCCCCCCTCCCCCCACCCCTGTGCCCACCCCCCCTCCCCCTCCACAGCCCCCCATCCCTGTGCCCACCACCCCCTCCCCCTCCACAGCCCCCCACCCCTGTGCCCACCACCCCCTCCCCCTCCACAGCCCCCCACCCCTGTGCCCACCACCCCCTCCCCCTCCACAGCCCCCCACCCCTGTGCCCACCACCCCCTCCCCCTCCACAGCCCCCCACCCCTGTGCCCACCACCCCCTCCCCCTCCACAGCCCCCCATCCCTGTGCCCACCACCCCCTCCCCCACCCTGTGCCCTACACCCCCTCCCCCTACACAGACCCCCCTCCCCCCACCCCTGTGCCCACCACCCCCTCCCCCTCCGCAGACCCCCTCTCCCTACCCGGTGCCCTCCACCCCCTCCCCCTCCGCAGACCCCCTCCCCCCACCCCTGTGCCCACCACCCCTCCCCCTCCACAGGCTCCCTCCCCCCACCCCTCCCCCTCCGCAGGTCCCCCCACCGCACCCCGGCCGCACCCACTCACTGTCCTGCTCGGCTCCCTTGAGAAAGGCCCCGATGGCGCCCAGGTAGCCTTCGTGCCTCAGGAACAGCGCCTGGACCTCCCCCTGCAACGCAGACCCCCGAGCGCCGGCTGTGACTGGCTAGTCCGCCAGCTCCGCCCCCAACCCCACCCCGCCGGACGGGGGATGGGGTCCTGAGTCTCCGCGCGATGTGCCAACGGGACCGGGTGGGACGCAGACGAAAAGCCGTCCTTTGGGAAATACGGGGGGACGACCCCAAGGGGATGAACGCCGGCCTGTCTGCCCGCCCATCCGCCCCGCCCGTCCGCCCGTCTGTGGGCCCGGCAGGTGCCAGCTCACGGGGGAGGGGCAGGAGGCCGGGTAGGCGGGCACTGGGGGCCGGGCGGGCACTGAGGCGCCGGGCGGGAACTGGGGACCGGGAGGGCACGGGGGGGCCGGCGGGCACTGGGGGCTGGGTGGGCACTGGGGGCTGGGCGGGCACTGGGGTGGTGGGCGGGCACTGGGGTGGTGGGCGGGCACTGGGGGCCAGGAGGGCCCGGGGGGGCCGGCGGGCACTGGGGGCCGGGCGGGTACTGGGGGGCTGGGCAGGCATGGGGGGGCCGGTGGGCACTGGGGGGCCGGGCAGGCACTGGGGGCCGGGCGGGCACTGGGGTGGTGGGCGGGCACTGGGGGCCGGGCGGGCACTGGGGTGGTGGGCGGGCACGGGGTGGTGGGCGGGCACTGGGGGCCGGGCGGGCACTGGGGTGGTGGGCGGGCACTGGGGGCCGGGCGGGCACTGGGGTGGTGGGCGGGCACTGGGGGCTGGGCGGGCACGGGCACTGGGGTGGTGGGCAGGCACTGGGGGCTGGGCGGGCACTGGGGGCCAGGTGGGCACTGAGGGGCCGGGCGGGCACTGGTGGCCGGCGGGCACGGGGGTCCGGGCAGGCGCACCTTGGAGAAGAAGCTGATGCTGTAGGTGATGGTCCGCATGGTGACCGGGTGGCCGCGGATGAAGAAGCCACCAAAGTACACGCGGTCCAGGCCGTGCAGCCGGGCGTAGAGGCAGGCGAGCTGCCCGATGTCGTTGCTGATCATGTGCAGCAGGCTCTTGGCCATGTCCTCGGGGGAGAACTCTGCGGGCGGAACGGCGCTGGGCGGGGGCACCGGGGCCCCTGGGGGGGCACGGGGAGGGCGGGGGCAGGGGCCCGGGGAGGGCGGGGCCCGTGGCACCGGGGTGGGCAGGGTGGGGGCACTGGGGAGGGTGGGGCCCGTGGCACCGGGGTGGGTGGGGCAGGGGCCCGGGGAGAGCGGGGCGGGGGCCAGGGAGGGCGGGTCCCATGGCACCGGGGTGGGCAGGGTGGGGGCACTGGGGAGGGTGGGGCCCGTGGCACCGGGGTGGGCGGGGTGGGTTGGCACGAGCGGACGTACCTTGGTCGGTGGTGGCCGACTTCCCGAAGCTGCTGGCGATGAGGTTGCCACTGAGCCCCAGCGTCTGGTGGGCACCGCCGTAGATGTCCTGCACCAGCATGTCCACGTTGGCGTGCTGCCCCCTGGCGGCCAGATGCAGCAGCTCGTCGAACTTCTGCAGGGACGGAGCGGGGAGCAGTGAGGTGTGGGTGCGGGAAGGACCCGGCCCCAAAGCCAAGCCCAGGAGCGAGGGGGCAGGCCGCCCAGGACCCGCAGCCGCAGCCAAGCTGTGCTGTGACCGGATGCACCCCGCCCTTCGGGGCCCCGACGGCAGGGCGGGGCGAGGGGAGCCCCAGGGGGAGCCCGCAGCCAGAGCCCGCCGGCCGGCACCTGCGTCCTGGTGAGCAGCGCCCCGAGCCCCCAGAAGGTGCCGCCGCCGATGGAGCTGCCTCCGATCCACTCGAACCGGTCCTCGGTCTCCACCTGCCGAGGGGGCGCTGGTGAGCGGCCGAGGGCTGGGGCCGCGCCGGGAGGGCTGCGCGGGGCTGGAGCCGTAACCGCCAGGCCGGGCCGAGTCCCTCGTCTGCGAGCCCCCGGCCGGCCAGACACCGGCGGGCGCAGGCCCCGCCCGCGCCCCTCGGCCCGGGCCAGCTCACCTTCACGATGGACACGCCGGAGCCGATGTTGACCAGGAGGTAGGGGAAGATGTGGGGGTGGTTGGTCTGGAAGCGGAACTCGGGGTCGGCGTCTTTCTGGTACGCGAAGGCCTCGTGGGGGATGTTCTTCAGCACGAAATTGCAGCCCTTTATCAAGCAGGTCATCACGTCCTCCTTGGCCACGCTGCGGGGAGGGGCGCCTGAAGCAGCCGGTCCCGGACGCCCTCCTGCTGCCCAGCGCAGCCCCCACCCCACAGACACGAGGTCCTCGGCCGAGCGGCCCTGTGCGAGGGCACACAGGCGCCCTGAGTGCAGCTGGAGCCCCGCCCCGCCCCGCCCCCGGGGCTGCAGCCCTGGGAGCCTCCACCCAGAGAACAGGCCCTTTCCTGCCCCTTCTGTCCTGGGGTCAGGCCCGGGGCCTGCAGTCCCCTTACCGCAGCCCCAGCTTCTGCTCGATGAGGTCCTTAAACTTGTAGGCCCCGCCCCCGGTGGCGTGGATGACTTTGGTCTCTGTGTTGACCAGGTGGTCCCGGACGAAGTCCAGGCAGGCCTCGATGTAGCTGTTCTCGAACTTGATGAAGTGCAGCCGGGGCGTCACCTCCTCCTGGACGGAGATCTCGTAGGGCGACTCGCGGTCCCGCTCCGCGTCCTGGGGCGGAGGGGGGTCTGGGTGCCGTGCGGGAGGGGAGACCCGAGACCAGCTGCCACGCGCCCACCCGTTTCCGTCACCCAGAAACGCAGAACCCGGCGGCCAGCCCCGGGCAGAGCCGCGGGGCAGGTTCCTGGGGGGAGGAGCTTCCTGAGGAGCGAGAGGGGGCGACACGGGCTCCAGGAAGCCCCCCGGGGGGCTCCGGGGCCGCCCGGACCTGGGGGGCGGCTCGGGGACAGCAGCCTGAGGCCGGGATGCCAGGCCCCCATAGCCCGGGGCGCCCCCCCCCCCCCCCCGGACACCCCGCTCACCTGGCCCGCGTGGTCGAAGGACCGCACCCTGGCCACTTTGTGCTGGACCGTGGAGTAGTAGGCCAGCTTGGTCAGCGACCCGCCTGCGGGTGAGACAGACACGGCGCTGAGAGGCGGACGGGGGCACCGAGCCCAGCCCTCAGTGCTCTCCTTCCCGGACGTGGTCGTGGGCACAGGCGTGTGCTGCCACGTGAACCTGAAGGCGCGGCGGGCACCACACCGAGGATGGGCTCCAGGACCGCAGCTCTGCTCCTCCCAGACCCGGCCAGTCCGGCCGGAGCTGCCCCCGGCCCTGCGCCCCGGCCCCGGGAAGGAAGCTGCCCCGTTTCTGGGCAACCGTGCGGCTCATCAGCAGCTTCAAGAGGTCACTTCAGCTTCAAAGTGACCCAAAGAGAGAAGCTGACGAGCCCAGTGCTTCCACCGAGCAGCACCGGGGGTGCCGTGGAGACGGGGAAGGAGGCGAAGGGGGCGTCCCAGCCGCCGGGGCGCTCACCAGGACCCCCCTCCCTGGGGCCAGAGAGCAGCATCCTGCCCCCACTGGCTGGGGCTGGGGCGGCCCAAGGCCCAGAGTGACCACGGGAGGCCACCGAGGGCACAAGGTCTTGTCCCCGGCCAGGCCCCGGCGACGTGGCCCAGGAGGCAGGAGGGACACAGTCAGGGCAGGTGGGAAGGGCCCCGGGGCACCGGTTTCAAGGCTGCACCCTGGCGAGCACTCAGGGCAGACGGGCGATGCCGGGAGGCCCAGGTCCTGCCGCCCCTGCCATGGCCATGGCCACGGAGGGAGTGACCCCCTTGGAGCCACAAAAGGCCGCAGGTTTCTTACGGGGGCCACGAAAGCACGGCAGGGTGCGAGCCCGCAGCTCTTCCCGGTCCGAGGCCCACGCCGCCTGCCTGTCCTGGTGCCACGACGGGGCCTCGGGCCCTGTGGGCCTGCCTCCTGCTCCCCCAGAGAGCACAGCCGGGGCCAGGGCACACGTGGGCTCAGTCTGGAGTGGGGGTGGGGGGGACTCCAGAGCCTTCGGGGAGCAGCTCAGCTGTGCCCAGGACCCCCCACAATCAGAGCGAACGCCAACCCTGCCGGGGCCACCACACCGACCAGCCCACGCCCACATGCTCAGAGAGCCACGCTCTCTGTTCACCCAGCCTGCGGACCGGGACCCGGTCCCCCCTGCCACCTCTGAGCGTCCGTCCTCGCCTCGGACCCGTCCTCGCCAGGGCCCAGGGGGCTGCCCACCCCGCCCCGCAGGCCCTGCGCCTCCCCTGGCGCTTTCACACGGAATTTGCCTGCTGAGCCGGTGCCCCCAGGAGGGCCGGTCGGGAACAGCCTTTTCCTGGCGGGGCTCAGGGAGGGCAGAGCAGACAGACCAGCCAGCCTGTGAGCCAACGGGTCAGACCGGGCAGGGGCTCCGGGCAGAGGACCGGCCTGCACTGCGCTGACAAAGGGGCACAGCACCCAGCGCCCAGCGCCCTCCCGGAGAGGACGTGCCCAGGCTGAGAACACCCCGAGGTCCTCGGCCACGGAGCCCGCGGGGCTGGCTCTGGGCGGCAGGCGGCTCCAGGCCCCGCAGCGGCTCCTCCTCCCAGGCCACCAGCTGGCCCCCGGGGCCACACCGGAGGTCCGCGCTGAGCCCCGTGGCAAGTCCATCCGCAGAAACGTGAAGGGCCGAGCCATTCCTCGGAGCAGAACCCCCCCCCCCCCCTGAGGAGGAAGGCAAAGTTGGAACTTCAGAGCTCCCACCGCCCGGACCACGGTCACTCCCAGTGTGGGCAGCACTGAGGAGACTGCGGAGCAGGCCGAGAGGCTGGCGGGGCCCCTGGAGGCTTGGTGGGGGGGTGACGGGGTTTCCAGCACCCCATGCATGTGGGCACCGAGTCTGGTCTGCGCTAGCCACCCCAGCACCTACCTGGCCTCCAACCATCTCACCCCTGCCACCACCCAGCTGCTGGTGGACAGGGGGGCAACTCGGGCCCTCCCCACGTCTGCATCCCCACCAGGACCTGGGCCCCACGCCTGACGCAGCTGAGCTCCAAGAGCAGCTGTGGAGCATGGGCTGGTCCCTGCGGTGGGGACGCAATAAATGCAAAGGCCCACCCAGTGGCCCAGCTTCTCTGGGAGAAAAGGTGAGGTCGGTCCAGCATCTACTGAGCGGCAACCGTGGGGCAGGGTGCTGGGGGGCAGGGGACACTGCCCACTCGGAGGTGGGCAATCACAAACTCAGCGGGAGGTGCAGAGCCGCTGTGGCCTCCACGCCGGGGAAGCTGACCTCGGGAGGCCCTCTGTCCTGATAGGTGGGCAGAGCAGCAGCGTGGCAGGCCGAGGGCTGGCTGCCTACCAGCGAGGTGACCTCCCCGCTCAGTGTCCAGTGACAGCGGGATGCTGGGGGGGAGCACGGGGCCTGTGCAGTGAGCGGGGCAGGGCCTGGGAGCGGCGGGGGCGAGAGCGGGCCTGGGGCTCCCCTGCAGCCCCCGGGAGGCTCGGAGGCTCTGGCCAGAGGCCGGCAGAGGTTCCAAGCTCCCACGTCCAGGTCATCGAAACTCCCGCCAAACGGCCACCGGCTGAGATCAGGTCCTGCCGGTTTGGGCTCGGGGCGGCCGTCAGGGCTTCCGTGGCCAAAGCCGGGGCTCCCGCCCGTCCACATCCTGGCCCAGACCTGTCGCGGGCCCGGGCAGCCACCCAGGCGGCCGGGGAGGCCTCACCGCGCTGCTGACCCTCCCAGGCCGGACTACAAGGCCCGGCATGTCCCGCTCCCACTGCGCGGAGCCTGCCGGGAGCTGTAGTCCGGCCTCCGCGACGAGCCTAGGCACCGGCGGCCCTAGGACTACAAGCCCCAGCAGGCCGTGCGCGCCGGCAGCCCGCTGACTACGAGGCCCGGCAGGCCGTGCGCGCCCACGGCCCGCGCCCCGCCCTTCGTCCTTGCCACCGCCCCCGGCCCGCCGGCCCCGCCGCCGCGCCCACGCCCGCTGCGCGCCGCCCCGCTCCCCGCGCCCGCCCGCGGCTACCGATGTCTATGGCGAAGCGCTTGGCGTTCTCCAGGTTGCGGAAGATCTCGTCGGGGGGCAGCGTGATGCTCTTGTCCAGGCCGTCCCCGCTGCTCCCGCCGCCGCTCGCTCCGCACTCCGCCATTTTGAATGTGCCCGGCCAGCCTCATCAGCCATGGAGATATATGCGCATATATTTGACTGCTAAACGCCGCCCGCGCATAGATTATGCTAATGAGGCTCCGGGCCGGCCCCGCCCCGCCCCGCTCCCCTCCGCGGTCTGGGCGGCCGGAGGACCGGCTCCGGGCGGCGCGGGCGGCCCGGGCGGGGGTCCCAGAGGCCCGGCCCGGAAGGGAGCTCAACGCAGAACCTCTGCACCTGCTCGGTGCGGCCTCGGTGCTCTGAGCCCGGCCAGAGGGGCACTGGGCCTCGCCGGCCACCGGAGACCGGTTTCCCGCCAGTGGGCTGCAAGCCTGGCGCCTGCGCGGGAGGCGCGTGACCCCTGCCCGGGGTGTCCGGGGTGCTGGCTGCGGGTGCCGGAAGCCCCAGCCAGGTGGGTGTGGGGACCTTGCCCTCGAGGGCAGCGCAGACAGACGTGCCGCTCTGAGCCGGAGGCGGTGAGCTCTGGTGGCCCAGCCGCGGAGCGGCCGGAGCCGCCCGGAGGGGGCCGCCTCTGCCGCGAGGGGGTCCGTGGGCTGAGCATCTCCCAGCGCTGGGACGGCACCCGGTGGTGCTGGGGACCCGGCTCCGACGTGTCCCCCCAGACACTGGGCGCTTTGGAAAGAAGTGTTGGGAGCGGACAGGGGGGTCCCCCAAGCGGCCTTGACGCCGGCCTGCAGGTGACCCAGGTCGGTAACTTCCTTTCTCGGGGCCTCGGCCGCCTCCTGGCGAGCCCGATGCCCCGGGAGCCCAGAGACTCCAGGCTGACGGACAGGAGGGGCGGGCATCGGCCGGGGAGGCAGCCTGGCAGGTGTCTTCCTGGGCGCGGGGGTGCGGCCCTGGGCGGGGGGCTGGGTGGAAGGGTGCAGGGTCTGCTCCCAAGAGGCTCAGCCGGGACCCTGGGCAGGGGGTGCCTGTGGGCAGACGGGCGTGCCTGCTGCCCCTGCGGTAAGAGGCGCTCCGGTCCCGGGCTCACTGCTCCCGGGGCCTCCGCAGGCACTGGGCTGGCCGGGAGGGGGCGCCGGTGGGCATGGCCTGCAGAGGAGATGGAAAGGGAGGGAAGAGGGCAGGAGGGAAGTGCTGAGCTGGAAGGAGGGGCGGGCTGGGCCGCATCTCTGGAAATAATGCCTCCTGGTCCCACGTCCGGCTCATCCCATGGCGCGGGTTTTGCCCGTGGCGTGTCAGGACGCCTCTAGATTCACTCCATCACCCCCTGTGGCCTGCACTGCCTGTCCCACCAGCAGGGAGGGCAGGTGCCCCCGGGCCTGTCCAGAGGTGGGTGCTGCTGGCCAGCGGGAAGCTGTGTGTTTGGCCCGGCTAAAGCCCTGCTGTGGCAGCAAGCGCTCCGGTGCAGGCGGGGTCTCCCGGGACAGAGCGGGAAGGTCCTGAGCAGTCACTGTGCTCGCAGGAGCAGGTGGGAGGCTGGGGCAGGGATCCAGGCCTCTGGCTGTCCCCTCCTGCCTCACCCTCCCAGCTCCTCCCTTCCCCCCCTCTTCCCTCCGCTGCTCCCTCTCAGCTTCTCCCTCCCCTCCTCCCTCCCATCTCCTCCCTTGCCTTCTCCCTCCCAGCTTCTCCGATCCTCCTCCCTCCCAGCTTCTCCCTTCCTCCCCTGCTCCCTCCCAGCTTCTCCCTTCCTCCCCTGCTCCCTCCCAGCTTCTCCCTTCCTCCCCTGCTCCCTCCCAGCTTCTCCCTTCCTCCCCTCCTCCCTCCCAGCACCCAGCCCTTGGTCCTGTGACCCCAGGGTCCCACCCTCGGTTGCACTCACTAGTGCCCTCCCCTCCCCGTGGGGCGGTGGCTGCGGAGGAACGAACGGAAGGACAGGGAGCCAGATTTTATTGGAAATCCGAGAACAGCAGTTCAGATTCTGAGTACAGAGCCAGGCCCGGAGCACCCCCGCCCAGGATCCTGTGAGGATCAGAGTGGGGACCCGCCCGCACCGCTGGGAGCGGCGGCCCGGTCCCCTCGCCCCTCGGGGCTGACACGCTTCCTATGAGGACGCATTAGGTTCCGCCTTCACGGAAGGCAACGCCCCGCCAGGCCGGCCGGCGGGCGAGCGGGGACGGTCCTCCAGGAGCAGGGGTCCCGCTGGAACGTCACAGACCCCCCCCCCCTTCCCGGAGTCACTGCCGCGACGCAAACAGCCCGCGGGCCGGACGGCGCTGGCGGCTGGCGGTCCGGGCGCGGGGCTCTGCGGCGCGTTCTCCGAAGGCCGAGCCGGGGCCGGGCGGCCCGGCCCCCTGCACCCTGGCCCTCGGTCACCAGGGCCGCCAGAGGCCGCGGGGCGGCTGGTGCTGGGGCGCCGCGGGGCCGGCCTTGGCCGCGGGGTGAGGGGTGGGGGGCGCGGGCGGCGGGCGCTGGAAGTGGCAGAGCAGCTTCATCTGCGCGTCGCCGGACGCGTGCAGCGCCAGGAACTGCACGGCCTCCTGCAGGCACCACGCGTAGCCCTCGCGGAAGTCCTGCTGCCGGCTGTGCGGGCCCGCGGCGGCGAAGGCTGCGGGGAGGCGGCCGTGAGCGGGGCGGGCAGGGGGGGCGCGTGGCGGGGCGCGCGGGGCGGGCAGGGGGGCGCGGGGCGGGGACGCGGGGCGGGGCGGGCAGGGGGGCGGGCAGCGGGGGGCGCAGAGCTGGGCGGGCAGGGGACGCGGGGCGGGGGGCGCGGAGCGGGGCGGGCAGGGGAGCGCAAAGCGGGGCGGGGCGCAGCGGGAAGCGGGGCGCGGGCTCACCCTTGCTGTGCTTCAGGTAGCTGACGGCCATCTCCAGGATGTCCGCCTTCTCCAGCTTGGAGTTGGGCTGGTGCCTCGCGAACTCCTGCTCCAGCAGCAGCTTGAGCTGCTCGATGCTGCTGTTGATGCGGTCGCGGCGCATCTTCTCCACCACGGGCTTCCGCAGCTGCGGGGGGAGGCGTCAGGCGCGGGCCTCGGGGATCGGAGCGCGGGGCGGGGGCCGTGGGGCCGGGGGCGCCGGGAGGAGGTGTCAGGGAGCGGGGAGGGGGCTCGGGGCCGGGGAGGGGAGCGGGAAGCGCGCGGGGCTCGGGGCCGGGGAGGGGAGCGCGGGGCGCGGAGAGGGAGCGCGGGGCCGGGGAGGGCAGTGCGGGGCGCGGAGAGGGAGCGCGGGGCCGGGGAGGGCAGCGCGGGGCCGGGGAGGGCAGCGCGGGGCGCGGAGAGGGAGCGCGGGGCCGGGGAGGGGAGCGCGGGGCCGGGGAGGGCAGCGCGGGGCCGGGGAGGGGAGCGCGGGGCCGGGGAGGGCAGCGCGGGGCGCGGAGAGGGAGCGCGGGGCGCGGGGAGGGGAGCATGGGGCGCGGAGAGGGAGCGCGGGGCCGGGGAGGGCAGCGCGGGACTCGGGGCCGGGGCGGGCGCGCACTTACTCGGTTCTTCTCTTTGGGGCTCAGCAGCTCCAGGGCGGCGGCGCCGGGGGCCATGCTGCGCGGAGAGGGGAGCGGGCGCCGGAGCCGGAGCGGCGGGAGCAGAGCTGGCGGCGGGCGGAGCGGCTTTATAGGCGGTGGGGCGGGCTGGCCCTGGGGCCCGGGCGGAGCGGCGGTTCCCACGCTCGCGGCCAATGGCGGCCGCACACAGCGGCATGTGAATGGCGGGCACAAAGCCGCGGGAGCAGGTGGGCCGCACAATGTCCGGCTGTGGGAACGCGCCCTCATTAGCATCCGGCCTGACGCCGGCCCGCGCCTCAGTGTGCCGCCGTTTCCCAGGCGGGGGAGGGGGACACCTCCCCTCCCTCCTCTCCCTGCCCTCCCCTCCCCTGCTGGCGGGCGGATCAGGGACCAGTGCACCGGCTTCCTGGCTGCGGGCACCTCCCCACAGGGACCTGCTGCCCCGGGGAGGGCGGCCACCCCGTGCACAGGCGGACCAGGGGCCTCTGTGTGGGTCCCGGGGTGTCACCTGGGACACAGGACTTCTCCCGAGGGAAACACGGGCTGCCCTGCCTCCATGATGGCTTTAGGGAGCGTCCCGGAGCCAGAGGGGGTGCCGTGCCCAGCACAGAGCCCCCCAGCCAGTGCCCCCAAGAGCAGCATGTGAGGCCGGGCATCTCGGGTGCTGTGAACCCACAGGTGCCCCCCCTGTGGCCAGAGTCCACCCGGGCTCTCACTGCCCAGGCCGCACAGCCTGGGGGCACAGCTAGGCTGGCTCTGCCTGGACGTTCTGAGGAGGGTGCCAGGGGGCAGCATGAGGGCGGAGCAGGGCAGCCCAGAGTCCCCTCAAAAGTGGTACCAGCTCAGACAGGCCCTCAGGAGCCACAGGGAAAACCCATCATCCTGGTACCAGCCTGCTGGGAGTGCCCTCTGCCCAGAACACCACCCTCCTGGCTCTCCACAGGGGACTGAGTGGGGCCCAGCCGGGCAGGGGTCCGGGGGGAGGGGGGGAAGAGACGGGGCCTCCGCTCGCTCTGACAGCCATGGCTGGCATCAGGCACGTCGGCCCCGTTTTAAATCTGGGAACAGTTGTGGCTGGAACTCCAGAGCCCTCCCAAGGGGCCGTCAGACCTGCCCGCCGAGGTCCTGGCAGCCTTGAGGGGCCTGTGGGGACCCAGCGGGACGGTGTCGGGGCTGTGGAGCCGGCACTGGGTGGCCCACGGCAGCTGTCACCCCGGATGAGCTGGGCTAGGGGTTCCCAGGGTGAACCCTCAGGAGCTCTGGAGGAGAGGCAGCCCCTGCCCACATCCCCCTCTGGTACCTGGTCCCCCCCTCACACGCCCCTGCCTACACCTCCCTCATGCTGTGGGGAGGCGGGCGACACTGAGGGCGGAGGGCCGCGCTGTGAGCAGACGGGACCCCACCACAGAGACCAACATGCCCACCCCCTGCGCACAGCCCGGGCACGGGCAGGGGCTGGCACCGTGGTGGGGTGTGGTGGGTGCTGCAGGCTCTGCGGGTGCCAGAGTGAGGCTGCGCCGGTGTGCCCCTGGGGTGGGGGGCTCTCATGTCCACAGCTTCGCCAAGGCTGAGCTTCCTGTGGCCTGGATGCTGGCGGGGAGGGGCGGCCCTCGGGGCTCTCTCGAGAGGGGAGGGCTGCACCCAGCTTGGAGGGCCCTGGCTGGGCTGTGTCCTGCCCAGCCCCCTCCTCCCAGCCAGCCCCAATGAGACACACGTGCCGGGAGTCACGGTCCAGCCCCTCGCTGCCCAGTGCGCGCCCACCCGCGGCGGAGGGTGGCTGGCCCGCGGCCAGGGGGCCATGGGCACCCCCCGCCCCCTCCCGGGCCAACCACTTTGATCCGCTCTTGGCGGTGGGAACGGGGTGAATGGGCTGAGTCCGCGGGATGAAAGCCCCCTCCCCAGCGGAGGCCAGATGGCAGCGCGGCCCCAGGCACACGCCGGCTTTGTGGGCCGTTTAGGCCGTGAATGGGCCGGAGTGTGGGAAAGCCCGGGGCTCCCGGCTCACGCCGCCAAGGTAAGTGGCGGGGGCGGGGACGGGGTCGGGGGGGGGGGGGGGGGGGGGGGAGGGGAGAGGGCCAGGGCGAGGGCTGAGGCTGGCGGGCTTTGCACCAGGAATGGGGGGGTGTAGATTCTCTGCCTGCCCCCCTCCAGCAGCCGGAGAGGGGTCCTAACTCCAGCGGTGTGTCTGTCCTGCCTGCGCCCCCAGCTCTCAGCAGGCCCGGCGGGGTGGGGTTCCAGAGTTACTGCCCCCCAGAAACAGCCCCTGTGGACCCTGAGCCGGGGTCACTGCCCCAGAGGCCAGGGCCCAGGGCCCCCCCATGGCTCTCCCCGAAATGGCAAAGCGCAGGGCTCAGGGGGTGGCCTGTGTCCATGTGCCGGGGGGACTCGGGGACCAGGGCGGAGGCCCCTCAGAAGTTAAACGTGGAGCCCAGACTGGTGTGGCTCAGTGGATAGAGCGTCGGTCTGCGGACTGAAAGGTCCCGGGTTCGATTCCGGTCAAGGGCACGAACCTTGGTTGCGGGCACATCCCCAGCTGGGGTTGTGCAGGAGGCAGCTGGTCGATGTTTCTCTCATCATCGATGTTTCTAGCTCTCTATCCCTCTCCCTCTCTCTCTGTAAGAAAATCAATAAAATATAATTTATAAAAAGAAAGTTAAACTGGAGCCCGGCCGCAGGGTTCGAGTTGAGCGTCTGCCTGTGAGACAGGAGTGAGGGCACAGGCCCGGGCTGCGGGCTCCATCCCCTCCTCTCTGACATCAATAAAAACACAAACAATTTAAACACGGAGTGATGGGGGGGGGGGGGGGCTGCAGCTGCTTGGCGCCATGGGCATGGGCCTGGCCCTGACCCCCCAATGCAATGCTGTCCCCCAGGCCTCAGTGACTCCCGGGCGGGGGCGCCCAGCCATCCCCCCACCAGCCAGGCCCTGTGAGGCAGGTAGAGCCGGCTGGTGAGCGGGACCAGACACGGCGGCGGGAGAGGGGCCCCGCAGGAGCTGTGGGGTGAGAGTCCGGGGTGCCCGCAGTCTGACCACTTAGCCAGCTCTGCGAGGCAGGGTCCCTGCGCCCACCGACCCCAGGAGCGGGTCACTGAGGCTGGGCAGCCCGGCCTCAGTGTGCCCTGGCCAGTGGGTGCCAGGTAGATGCCAGCAGCCATGGTTTGGAGCGGGCACAGCATGGGTCAGGGCAGAGCCGGGAGGGGCAGGCACGGGCCTCCTACCCCTGGCGCTGGGTGCTGTGAGGCTGCTGAGGCCACAGCAAGGACTCGAACCCAAACCCGAACTCACGGAGGCTGCTTTTCTCCTTCCCGAGCAGCAGAGGGAGGCGGGGTGTGTGTGTGTGTGTGTGTGTGTGTGTGTGTGTGTGTGTGTGTCTGGAGGATGGGTTCCCAGGAGAGCTGGGCACCTGGGGACACTGACTGCCTCTCCCGGCAGGCTCGAACCCGGGCAGCACACGGAGCGGGCACAGCGAGGGCCAGGCCCAGGTGCAGACGGAGAAGGGGGCAGGGGAGGGGGGGCAGGAGGCCACACAGGGCAGAGGCACAGGCTCAGCGGCTCCCCAGGGCCTGCCAGGCCGCCGCCTCTGGCTGAGCCGCCGAGCAGAGAGGGAAACCTGCTCAGGCCCACGCTGGGGGCCGGGCACCAGGGAGAGTCAGGAGGAAGCCCCCAGCCCTGCTTCAGCCTCGGCTCCCTGCACCCTGACCAGACCGGGCTCTGTTGCCCCCCCTGCCCCGTGGGCCCGTCCCTGCAGCAGGCACCTGGCTGCGTGGCCGAGGCTGGGCCTTGCCTGGGGCCTCGGCGAGGGCGCTGGGGACCTTGCGTGTGGAGGGTACGGGGTGGGGCACCCAACGGAGCTGGAGGGGGGAGGGGCCAGGTGCCCACAGTCCCGGGACCTGGGTCCGGCGGTTTCTCCTCCTGGCGGCTCTCCGGAGGGGCCCGGGCGCTGCGGGGGGCACTGCCCGCAGCCTGTGCACCGCCTCCAGCAGGAGCACAGAGCCCAGAGGGATGGGCTTGTGGGGTGGATAGGGCCCCGTGCGGACCGTGGTGGGGCCGCTGGGACCACTGGGTGAGCCGCAGAAATGGGACACTTGGGGTGCAGACCGGTGGCCCAGCTCTGCACCCCGACCCCACTCCTCCTCACAGGACCGGGCTGGGCCCCCTGGCGGGCTGTGGGTGCAGCAGGGCATCCCCCACTGGGAGCTCCTGCCTCCAGAGCGGGTGCCCCCGGGCCACAGCCCCCGGAGCCCGGGCCAGGCTGGGGCGCTGGAGCCCGGTCGGGCCTGTTCCCCGGTGGCCGGTGGCCAGAGGGCGCTGAAGGGGGGTGGGAACTCGGCGGCCGGCAGGTCCCACACCCCGACCCCCCAGGCCTCACCGCCCACGTGGCCGCCCCCTTCCCCCCTCCCCTGCCCTCCCCTCTCCCGCCTCTCTCGGGAGCCGGTTAACCCTGAGTCAGGGAGCAGCGCGTTCCCACTGCCCCCCCATCCCGGGCAGATGGCCTTTGGGAGGCGCCCCGCCCCCGCCCCCCGCAGCCGCCCTCCATTCAGAGGCACAGGCGGCACTGATGCCCCAGGCACACTCCCCCCGCCCGCCTGGGAGCGGCCCCCAGAGCCACAGCCCCCGCCCCGCCCCCCATCCCCGCCCCCCAGAGCCACAGCCCCCCGCCCCCCGCCCCCCAGAGCCACAGCCCCCCACCCCCTGCACCCCAGAGCCACAGCCCTCCACTCCCCCTGCCCCCAGAGCCATAACCCCCCGGCCCCCGCCCCCCAGAGCCACAGGCCCCCCAGAGCCACAGCCCCCCGTCCCCGCCCCCCAGAGCCACAGCCCCCCCAGAGCCACAGCCCCCCCAGAGCCACAGCCCCCCGCCCCCCGCCCCCCAGAGCCACAGCCCCCCACCCCCTGCACCCCAGAGCCACAGCCCTCCACTCCCCCTGCCCCCAGAGCCATAGCCCCCCGGCCCCCCGCCCCCCAGAGCCACAGCCCCCCGCCCCCCGCCCCCCAGAGCCACAGCCCCCCGCCCCCCGCCCCCCAGAGCCACAGC